TCGTGATGAAATCGCAAATTAGCGGCAGACATGTGAAAGGGGGATCTGGTGGCAGCAGCAGACATATATATATATTCTCGTATACCAGAATAAAATGTAATAATGGTATATATACCTCCTCACATCCAAAGCGTTTCAATTTGTATTCTTTTCTTTGATATGTTTTGAAATGAAGGTGTGTTTTTTTCCCCATTCAAGAAAGCTTCTTAAACAACTCACAAAGAAGATACTAGTCTTTGAAACTTGATGTATTATATTAGATTAGATAATAAACAGGATGCCTCGAACGAGGCAGCTAATCGTGTGAGCGTGCGGGCAGAACACTCTTAGGCCATAGGCGGGCCACCTATGGCGTCGTTGCAGCACCCGGACCATCCTAACGACACAGCGCCTTGGTGAGGTGGGATGGCTTGTGTGCCCCAATGACTACAATTTCTATGCCGGTGGGATCCCCGTGCTCCTGGCAGGTTAAACCTTTGCCGGAGATCTTCGTGGGTAGGGGCCAGACTAAATGCTGTGTTGTAAAGAGAAAAAAATCGACTTTTGTAGACGTATGGACAGGGGGAAGGGAATTACATTAACAATTTCATTGTTTACTGAAAATGTACTTTGTTTGAAAAATAATTATCCTTGTAAATTGACGAAATGACGAAGTGTGTTTACTAATTTACTTTTTCTATACGAATAGAGAAAGTCTTGTTGTAATCGTGCAAAAAAAAAAAAGTTTTGCAATCTTGTCCGTGTATGGTTAATTGCCACACGATATGAGAAAACCTGCCTGCGACAAGATGTGCAGCAACTAAAAATTGCACAGCAAAATGAGGACACAACAAAAGCCCATGGAAGTAACAAAACAAACAAATTAAGGGGCATAGGCGCGGTTTTTTTTTCTATTTTTTTTTACAATTTAAAAACTAAAAAAAACCTTTGAATCGTGTTAGGCACAACATGAAAGTGTAAAAGTATTAAACAGCAAAAAAAAAAAAAAAAAGGTTGAAAACAATTTTGGTTGTCATGGAACCCCCCAAAAAAATTCCGCTATTTTGAATTTTTCGGTACTTTTAAAAATGCTGGCTTTTTACAAGTTTTAATTTAACTCACTTCCTCGTCACTCTGTCGTGATGAAATCGCAAATTAGCGGCAGACATGTGAAAGGGGGATCTGGTGGCAGCAGCAGACATATATATATTCTCGTATACCAGAATAAAATGTAATAATGGTATATATACCTCCTCACATCCAAAGCGTTTCAATTTGTATTCTTTTCTTTGATATGTTTTGAAATGAAGGTGTGTTTTTTTCCCCATTCAAGAAAGCTTCTTAAACAACTCACAAAGAAGATACTAGTCTTTGAAACTTGATGTATTATATTAGATTAGATAATAAACAGGATGCCTCGAACGAGGCAGCTTATTTTACCGATTTTTTTACCACTTAACCACCCCCCCCCCCAAAAAAAAAAAAAAAAAAAAAACAAACAACTGAACTCGCCTAATCCATTTACCATATTCTGAGTGGACGACGATTAAATTATATATTTCATAATCGATTTTACTATTGCGTTCTATATTGTCCGTCGCGAGGGGGGGGGGGGGGTGAGGGGTTGGATAACAAACCCCCATCCCATAGTCACATATTCAGATATTATCCTCTGTTAAGAGGAAGTAACCAAGCTTGGGCGATGCTGTCGACTATATTTTAGACCTATGCTCCGAGCGGCATTATGGAAAAGGGGAAGAGGTGGGTATTGAACAGTTATGAGCAGTAAGAATGGTTCAAGAAGTGCGATGTCCCATGTCTTGCATTTTACACAAATGTGGAACTGAATTTACAAGAAAATATTTAGCATATTTTATTTTAAGTTGTAGTAAATAGCAGATATATCTTACTCGATGTTGATTCTGATCGATGACAATTTGATAGAAAGACAATTTCATTTTTAAAATACAAATTAGAATAGAGGTGTAAACAGTTGTGTGAAGTAATTGGCAGTGGTATATTGTGACCATGTATACCGCGGGTGGCATATTGTGACGATGTTGTAACTAAGGGATTATGGTAATTATTGATCAGAATAAGGCAACAAGTTTTGAGGTACTAAAAGATAGGCTGACACTTGGAAATGGAATGGGCAAACCAATAATAATCAATTTAACATTCAGTGATACATTTACATAGTCTGTCATCTGGTAGCAGGGCTGCATGAATAATGATAATGTTATTGAACTGTTAGTCTTGGTTACATTGTATTTATTAGATCACAAATAAATCATATAACCGAAAATGGTTAAATAAATATTTTAACAGCCATTATTAATCAGTCTCCAAGCTAATTAGGGTAAAAATATTTCGCTTGATGACCTCATTTTACTATGATCAGACACTGGTAGATCTTTTGCACGGAATGCGACGGTCTGTCAAAGCTGTTCTGAAGGTCTGCCTGATTTTTTCCGTCTTAGAACAATGTTGACATTAAGTGTGTTATTTCAGCACCAGATGTAGGCACAGGTTAAAAAAATAATAGAATAGATACGTAATCAACCAATTACGCAAGTGATGTTTGGAAATTTTAAAACTTAAATGTATAAAAAAATAAATCTAGAATAAAAAAATCACATGTGACATTTGCAAAAGACACTGATTTCTGATAGTGATAAAGCTGAATTCAGACTCAAAGGATATCAAATTTAGCTGCTGCACTGTTGACTCTACCTCACCTGTGTTAGCAAATCAAAATATTAGGCAGCTTCAATCAGTACTAATCCCAAACGAAATAGGTCTTCACCTGTGTTTCTTCCAGACATTTTTCTCCGGGGGGGGGGGGGGGCACTTCAAATTTTCCCGGGTTGGTAGACTTTCTTCGGGGGGGGGGGGCGGACACTTAAAAGTATTATATTTTCTATATAAATTTCATATACTTGCAACGCATAGTAATTTCGTATTAAATATTAAAGTTTTAGTAGGCCTACAACTTCAGGCCATTGCGCAGCTAGTTTTGCGTTACGCACATTTTTCCAGCCACTAGGGCGAAGACGTTTCTTCCGAGTAGTCACGTCGTATACAAATACACCAAATGGGCAGTTGAAAAGAAAAACTAAAAAGTTCAGCATGACTATGAACTGAAATGATATGAACTCTCCCTCAACATCAACAATGCACTTAAGGTACATAAAATCGCCCGCGGCTAGTAATGTACGATAAAGTTACCTCGTTGTCAAGGGCCTATATTGTGATATATTTGTGTTAAATATTATAGATAACTGAATTATAAACCAAAATCAATGGCTAAATATATCAATATAGGCCAGAAATTAACTTTAAACAGCAGTGTTTGCGAGCAAGATTTGCTATATAAACAGCAGCCATTTGTAAAATAGAGTGGCCTCCCCTGAATCTCCCGCTATAAGTTTACCAAAAAACTTTAAAAAGATGGCTGCTATTGTAAATGAACATGTACCCCCCCCCCCCCCCCCGGAGAAAAAAAAAGTCTGGAAGAATTAGTGGTGTCACACACCCCCACTTTTTTTTCTCTGTAAATTTTGCAGTTGGTGTCACCTTCCTAAATGGTGTCACCCGATGCGGTCCGCACCCCCCATCCCGAGACGCTTCTGACACTAGTGTAGCCTAATGGTTATTCCACCGCTAACCTTGCAGTTGCAGGAATTTCACTTGTAATTACCGTGGGGTGGGGGCGGACTAAATAAGTTTCAAATAAAAAAGCAATATTGGGCGATGCTCTCGACTATATTAGACCTATGCTCCGAGCGGCATTATGGAAAAGGGGAAGAGGTGTGTATTGAACAGTTATGAGCAGTGAGAATGGTTCAAGAAATGTGGAACTGAATTTACAAGAAAATATTTAGCATATATCTTACTCAATGTTGATTCTGATCAATGACAATTTGATAGAAAGACAATTTCATTTTTAAAATACAAATTAGAATAGAGGTGTAAACAGTTGTGTGAAGTCATGGGGGGGGGGGGGGGGGGGGATGTATACATGGCATAATGTGGTTGGCATGTATTGTGACGATGCGTAGGTCGGCATATTGATGATATTGGGACGATGTAAAATGGGGAGTGGTATATTGTGACCATGTATACCGCGGGTGGCATATTGTGACGATGTTGTAACTAAGGGATTATGGTAATTATTGATCAGAATAAGGCAACACGTTTTCAGGTACTAAAACATAGGCTGACACTTGGAAATGGAATGGGCAAACCAATAATAATCAATTTAACATTCAGTGATAGATTTACGTAGTCTGTCATCTGGTAGCAGGGCTGCATGAATAATGATAATGTTATTGAACTGTTAGTCTTGGTTACATTGTATTTATTAGATCACAAATAAATCATATAACCGAAAATGGTTAAATAAATATTTCAACAGCCATTATTAATCAGTTACCAAGCTAATTAGGGTAAAAATATTTAGGGGGGGGGGGTATAATTTCTTTCTTTTTGACCCGAGGCGAAATGTAGATCGGGTCAGTTTCTGTGTGGGCACCTCGTGCTTGCAGTGAGGTTGCTTGTGCAACTTGGCTGGATGTTTTATATATATTGTTTTGTGTATATTATTTTGTCAAGTTAACGTTTGTTTTGTTTAGTGTCTGTAGTTTTTCATCTATTATTTTTTTCTTAATTTTGATTGGTTCCATTTAATAAATTTGATAAATTGCTAACGTTTTTTTGTGTTTATTCTAGACTAAGGTTAAGGTTATTAACCGGTCTGGGTTTAGCCGGACTTGCACTGAGCGGACAGTAGTTAGTTAAGCTTAGAAGCTTGAAATTACCGTGGGGTGGGGGCGGACTAAATAAGTTTCAAATAAAAAAAAGCAATATTGTAATGCAAAAAAAAAAATATTAACATAAAAAAAGCACATGTATCAAGTTTACCAAAAAAAAAAAAAAGAAAAAAAAACCCAACTTATTAATTCAATGAAACTCAAAAGTAACTAACCATTTAACAAAGTTTTTATTTTGTTTTCCAGGTTATATTTTTTTACATTTATAAGTCTACTCATGTATGTAGCTGCTTACAAAAAAACTGACTGTAAGGAATTTATTTGCTGACAGAAAGCACATACTATTCTGCGACCTTGACATTGCGTCTATCGGTGTTCACGTGAAACACCAGATCATAGGGATATGGAAGTTGTATTTCCGACAGATCGTCCAGTAGCTGCATCTAACATTGTTTAAAAAACAATTTATTGTGAATGAAACAAAGCATTCGAAATAATGGAATCAACAATATGTTAAACAAGTGACGAAAACGTTATCTTATACTTGCTAGCCATCACCTACCTTCTATGTGCTAGCCACCACCTACCTCCTCTTATACTATATGCTAGCCACCACATACCTCTTCTTATACTATATTCTAGCCACCACCTACCTACCTCCTACCTACCTCCTATGTGCTAGCCACCACATACCTCATATGTGCTATCCCCTATGTGCTAGCCACCACCTACCCCCTATGTGCTAGCCACCACCTACCCCCTATGTGCTAGCCACCACCTACCTTCTCTTATACTATGTGCTAGCCACCACCTACCTCATGTGCTAGCCACCACCTACCCCCTATGTGCTAACCACCACCTACCTCCTATGTGCTAGCCACCACCTACCCCCTATGTGCTAGCCACCACCTACCTCCTCTTATACTATGTGCTAGCCACCACCTACCCCCTATGTGCTAGCCACCACCTTACCCCTATGTGCTAGCCACCACCTACCCCCTATGTGCTAGCCACCACCTACCTCATATGTGCTAGCCACCACCTACCTCCTATGTGCTAGCCACCACCTACCTACTATGTGCTAGCCACCACATATCTCCTATGTGCTAGCCACCACCTACCTCCTATGTGCTAGCCACCACCTACCTCCTCTTATACTATGTGCTAGCCACCACCTACCCCCTATGTGCTAACCACCACCTACCACCTATGTGCTAGCCACCACCTACCCCCTATGTGCTAGCCACCACCTACCCCCTTTGTGCTAGCCACCACCTACCTCCTCTTTAGTTAAAGACCAGCCATTTCCTGCACCAAGGTTATCATCCAGCTGTTTCAGATTTCTCGCTCCAATGATCACAGAGGACACAACGTCTTTTTGGAGCAGCCAGCGAATGGCCACCTGAGCTAGACTTCGACCTAAGTGTTAAAAATGTGTTTGACTATGTAACTGTAATCTGTAAGCAGATTTATTATGTCCAGCATTACTTTAAAAAAAATAATTTAGTACATTTCCCATTTTGATCCTCGTGGTCTATGGGGCAAGTGAAGTAGAGTTCACCTGTTTCTGTTATCTCGGCATCTTAATGGATGTTGTGATCAGCACTGTGCCCAGCCGCCTTTACTTTCCCTAAGGGGTCTCAGGGACGTTCTATTAACTTGAAAACGGATTCTAACTAAAGGGTCTTGAAATTTTTTTTATTTACTTGAATAGAGTCAGTCTATTACATATAGAGTTTTATCAACTCTTTGTACATCGATAAGGGGGACCTGTATTGAAAACACATTTTCTTACAAATTATAAAATACATGCTTCTTTGGAATCGTATAACTTTAAAATACTTCAAACAATATAATATTACGAGCCGACCCGCGGCGTATCATACGCCGCTATTTAGTTGTTTTATTTTCTACTTTTCAGTAATTCATAGCAGCCTCCTCTTAGTTACCTCCAGTAAGTTTAAAATCATTTCAAACTAAATTATCTGCCCCTAATAACCGTAACTAAACCCGGCTCTACGATTTGTAAACATTTAGAGTGAACCACAGCTCACCAGATCATGTGGGGGTGGGGGTGGTAGTGATAGTGATAGAGAGGAAGAGAGGGGACTGCAAAGGCGCGCTTGCAGCTTGTTTTCTAACGGCTCCCAGAAGAGAATTATTTATAGATACTTTTTGGAGGACGATTTATACATTTTTGGCGAAATTTGGCATCAAATTGTTTAGGTACACAGTAGAATGAAAATAACTGAAAAAAATAATTAAAAACAATGCAAAGTAACCTTGCATATTGTTGGTAGACATGACAAAAGAATATCTGTTAAAATAAAATTTTGATATCTTACAAAAGGAATTTTTTAATAAATTTTTAAAACGCATAAATTTTTTTATCATATGTGTTTCTACGAAAACAATTCTCAAACTTTCACAGTTTAAATAAACCGGGAGTGATCTCCCCTAAACTTTCTCGAATATTCTTATATAAAATAACAGGGGATGGGAACTCGGGCTATAGACATGATTTTTAATCCATTTTAAATACTTAAAGTTTTAAAAATAGAATAAAATCTCGTAGACAAATTAATTGCACACCAAATGAACGCCAAATAAAAAAGCGCATAATGGTGCGCAATATTATTAGTACTTTTAAAATTTACATTAGTTTTTTGAGAAATCGGAAGTAGCGTAAAGTACTACTTCCAGTCAACGGAAATGACTCAAAATTTAATAGAAGGTAGAGAATTAGATCTTTTACTTACATATGAAATTTCATTTATCTATCTGAAATAGTACTCAAGTTATAGGCTTTTGAAAAATTCAAAGTAGGAAAAGTACCACTTCCGGTTATCGGAAATCGCTCAAAAGTTGATACGGATCTACGATTTTGATTAAATACTTATATATGAAATTTCATCAACCTAGCTGTAACGGTACTCAAGTTATCGTGTTTACACACGGACAGACAGACACACAGACACACAGACAGACACACAGACATACGGACAAGATTGCAAAATTATGTTTTTCCGTATCAGTGAGGTGTGAAACGTCGAGATTTGTAAAAATCTCGATTTTTTTTTTGCACGATTACAATACTTTCTCTATACTACGTATATACGAGAAAGTAAAAAAACTAAAGGACAGCCAAACCCTTCTACTACATAATAGATACACATGTTCGCAACATAATGAGGCCATTTTAAGTATTTCTGATTGGTGAATTTTGAGATCTATACCGTAAAATTGACAAAAGTGAGCGAACTCAAATTTAAGCTTTATTGAATATATATTTTGTCATATAAGTGCATGTATTAGCAAAATAATGAATAACCTTGACAAATAATTACTTTTCCGATAACATTTTTGGGGAAAACAACAATTTACTCAATTTACAAAAATAAATAAATAATCGATGCCAATCTTTACTAGATTTCAAAATCACCAAAAAATCAAGGTAAACAAAGGTGATTTTAGAGGAAAAAAATGAAATTTTTCAAGAAAGTTGACTAAGGCCCCCCCCCCCCCACCCCCCTATCATTTTTGAAAAAAAGTATCGTATAGATATCGTATGCTTACCATATTTTTTGGCAATGGCTTCTCCCGCTTCTATCAAATCAAAAGTTTTATCATCAAGTCTGGTCCACGCAGGGACTGCCTGGTTGGCTCTTGACTCATTTTCTGCCACCCAGGCCATGCGACCCTCCTCCGGTTTCTGTCCTCGTTTCACTTTTCCACTAAGCAAACCACTAATTAAAAATATAAATAATTTTCATTAACGGCATTGCAATTTGTAAAGTGTTCGTTCGTTTATAAATAAACAAATAAAAGACTGAAAGTTTCGTAAGCTTTGGGGGGGGGGGGGGTTCTTCCATAAATGACGTCACACTCATAGGGGGGAGGGGGGGCTGTAATTTTGTGACGGTGTGTGATGAGGGGAGGGGGTTCAGATGGTGTGACGTCACACTTTTGTGTTATAAAAAAGCAATGTTAGAAAACGAGTTTTAACCGTTATTTCGCGTTTTAGAAAACGGTATTGTAATAGGAATCGATTAAAATACTTTTATGTTGACAGAGTTTTTGGAAAAATATCGATGTTAAAAAAATTCAACTGCAATTTTGAGAAGGGGAAGGGGTGTGACTTCATTTTAGGGTTGGGGGGGGGGGGGGGTCTGGCTTTTTGTGACGATGGTTAACGGAGGGGAGGAGGGTGGTAAAAATCGTCAAAAAAGCGTGACGTCATTTGTTGATGACCCCTTTAGTATATGTTTTTAAATTGCTAAGCTTATTTTCTATTTTGATCTTGTTATACCAATGACATTCTTCCTGTTACACTTAGAAAAATAAAATTACGTTTACTAATACACATTGAAACCAAATAAACAACTATACAAAAACTATACTAAGCAGTTTTCAAGAAAAACGACCAACAAATGGCACTATTTACAATCGACAGCGCTAGTAACTTGCATAAGTAGATAATATCGTATAAATTAGGAAAAATTGAAAAAGACACCGCGCTTTCATGCGGTAGGTAAACCCGTGCCCCGATAAATATGATCCAGGCGGAGGCATTGTTTACATTTAAATTTAAACTCAGTTTTAGAAAAAAAAGGTCACACATTTAAGAATACAGGATTAGTAACGCATTTATGAAACGCTTCTTGTATATTTCGTCAGACGTTTTTCTATCCGCGCGGGGAAGAGCACGCTAGTAGACAATATAAAACAAAAATTGCAATATCAAGAGAAGAACAGATAAAAGAATCAATTACAAATCACGATTTTGAAAAAGTTAAACAATTTTAATATCTGGGGTCATCGACAGACGAGAACGTTAAAATACTAAGAGAATTTATGAAACTCTGCAGGCAAGGAAGAAGACACACTTAAGCAGCCACAACTTCTTGCAAAACAAGAACATCTGAAAGACAAAGAACACGAAACATACAATTATGAGACACACATAAAATATAGTATTGAATATCTGTGGGAGAAAAATCATCCGACTAATATATGGATGAGAATGGATAAAGACTGGAAACCAAGCACGAGATGTATGAAATATACAGATAACTTTCAATGGTGGTTATGTCCCCTGGAAAGAATGTCACATTAACAAGGGGAGTAAGTCAGTGGGATATATAACCAAAACACCAAAAGGCTGACATGGGTAGATGACGTGGAGACCGAGGTCTGAGTGGAAGAGGGTGGTGAAGCAGGACAAAGCCCACCACGGGCCACAAGAATTGATGGACAGACATGTATTGTCTGAGCCTAATTGAAGTCACTACTCACCCTTTGAGTGGGCTCCATGGTAAGACTCCTATACCTGATGTTTTACACACCTGGAATGGTTCCAGTTCTGACTCTCTGCTGACAAGATTGTATTGTTGCTGAAAATAGAAGTCAATATAGGATGTGTGTACACCACAGTCATGTTATCCAAATAATGTCTCATACCTTAGAATTATGCTGCTAACAAAATTTGTAGCAAATGAAATTATAATAGTTCTGAAATCAGACCTAATAATAAACTAGTTCAAATCAAAAGTTAAAAACCTAATTATGTCTTTATTTAATATGCATATATATATATATATATATATATATATATATATATATATATATATATATATATATATATATATATATATATATATATATATATATATATATATATATATATATATATATGTGTGTGTGTGTGTGTGTGTGCGTGTTACCTGTAAACTGATTATAGGATTTAATCCCAGCTTCTCATTAAGGTCAACGAGCTTCTGCAATTGCCAGCCTGTAAAGTTGCTGGCACCAATGTAGCGAACTTTGCCACAGCGAACCAAGTCATCAAAAGTGCGGAAAGTTTCTTCAAGAGGAGTACCATCATCAAAGATGTGTGCCTACAAGAAAACAATACATTAGGCTATTTCTGAAAAATAAAAAAACAAACACCTAAGGAACAATATTATACTTAAGCATCTAGACCGATGTAATATATTTATCTTTTAAGAGTCTTTAGATGCTACTTAGATGCTAAATCAAAACAAATTACTTGACATTAACATTTTTACATTAAATGTAAATCTTGCAGTGAAAATGAAAACTGATATAATTTCTTTTACCTGGTAAAGATCTACATAGCTAGTACGCAACCTTTCTAGACTTTTGTCAATACTCTGTGTGATATGACGTCTGCTGAGGCCAACATTGTTGATGTTGTATTTCGCTCCCATGTTGAACCCAACCTTTGTAGCTATGATAAAGTTTTCTCTGGTTTGTCTAGATTTGTAAAAAAAAATTACTGGATAGTTTGTATAGTTGACAATTTATTTGAAAAAAAAAACCAAAATTTTAGTAATTTTTATTTGTTAACTGAAGATACTAATTTTTATGATGCACTAGTAATTTAACTTTATTTACAGCAAGCTATTCATTTTTTTCTGCAAATAAAATAAGATCTAGGCAGTAACTTGTTAAACTTTGTTTTATCTGCATTTACAAATATGTGTGTAATATAATATTATAGTTTCTTCAAATTAAATAAGAATTGCAATATAAAGTACTATCGGACGGCGTGGCATAGCGGTAGGACGCTTGTCTTCTAGCCCGAAAGTCTCGTGTTCGAATACGGTGTCCATCTCTGGTACTTAACTCAAGGTGGGAAAACAGGAAGCTGGGCACAGCACGACGCCCAAATAAGTTATTTAACAATGCAATCAAAAGAGGAGGAAAAAAATGATTATCTTTAAACTTAATAATGCACCACTATTAATAGGCAAAGAATAAACAACATATGTCTAATCACATAACAATATTAGTTTTTTATATCATCATCTTTTCCCGTTTGTGCCTAAGACACATGTGGCAGATGAAGTAGAGTTCATCTGTTTCAATGACCTCGGAAAACAAGTGGATAATGTGCCGAAATTTAAAACTAATGTGTCATAAAATAACCATGTCACATGACATGGGCAAACATTGCTAACTGAACAGCATAAAAAATAGCATCAACAGTTGTGGTCCCACAGGGGCCGCAACCAAATAAAGTGTAAATTATCTCCCCTGACTGATAACCCATGGTATGTGTTACCTGTAAACTATACTATAAACCTTTTTATATATTTTAAAAAATTACTTTTCCAGCCATTTCCCAACAAACTCCTCAGATTTGCCTTGTCCATAAACATCAGCAGTGTCTATAAAGTTACCACCCCACTCAGCAAAACGATCCAGGATTTGAATAGACAATGCTTCATCACACTGTCCAGGTGCACGCCACTGTAAACATTAAAAAAAAATTATTTTAAAATAACGGGTTGTGTTCGTTCCTCGTGTCTGTCGTTTAATGGACACATCCAAGGGGAATTACTTTAATTAAATTTATTTTTTTATGTGGTGTTTAATAAATGAATGTCTGATTATTTTTGTTACTCTTTTTTATCTTAACATTTTTTTACAACACTATATAATACTTTTCAAAGCTACACTTCACGTTCTTAAAATACGGATTAAAATACTGTAACATTAACGACAACATACCGTGCACAGAATAAGTCAAGAAGAGTTACTTGGATTTAAAACGTTTGTGTTTTCTAAAGCCTGCCGTTTGACTCCACTTGCCCCATGGAACGTCAGGTTCCAAAAAGGAACTTTACATTTACATAAACGAGGCTATTTGCGACTACATAATTATAAATAGTGTTTTCTAAAACAACTTACGACTGATTCTGCTGATTCACCAAACGTCATTGTCCCTAAGCACAAGTTAGAGACTTTGAGACCTGATCTACCAAGAAAAACGTAGGGAAGTTTCTGTTCAGCTGCTACTGGGAAAGACATGTCTGTTTTACTGTTCACCTGCTATATAAAAAAGAGAATTATTTAATACATTTTAATACATGTATTAGAATTTGTAGAACTAGGACTGATTTGTTTATTTAATTTAAAAGCTGTTTCTGCAGTCAAGCACACTTTATCGATATCTATGGAAAAGGCCTATTAATATTAAAAGTAGGTTTTATATATATATATATATATATATATATATATATATATATATATATATATATATATATATATATATATATATATATATATATATCCGATGATTAGTTCCTTTTTAAGGCGAAACAACGACTGAAATTCAGGCTAATGAAACTTGTTAGAAGCGTGATTTAAAATGTGTGTCGTCACACAAAGTTAACCAAACAACTCCAGTATGAGTAGCCTGAATGTATGGAAAAATGAAAAAAAAAGTTTAAAAAAATGGAATAGGCCTATGTAACACACACATTACCGTTTTGAATTCCCTTGAGTGTTATCAAAACAATACCAAAATTAGCTCCTGTAATAATTTGAACTCGTGTTTAACTCAAGCAAGGGGTGGACTGGCCGGCCAGCCTACCATAAAAAAAAAACTCACCCCAGGAAAAACTATCGGTGGGCGGCCCGCAGGAAATGTGCTGTAATAGTCCTAATAGTATTAGATTTGTTTTTTTAATTGTTAGTATTCTACCATTCCATTAGCTTTGATGGGAAAAACTGCACAATGAAAATTTCAATCTGGGGTTGGGGCCCCTATTAAAATCTCTTGGACACAGCCAATTCACCCTTGATTCAAGCGTACTAAGAATACACAGAACAGCACAGAGGTTTTGCACATATGCTGTAAATATAACATCTTTGAAGAAAAAAAAAGCAGCTGTAAAGAATATTCAGATAGTGAATTAAAAGTCAATAACAAGTTTAGTCTTGAAACGCTTAAAAGAATATATTATGTATTTAGGCTATATATATATTGCCACGCACTTAACAACCAACATTTCTCGGTCTTGTGGGTTTGTAAACAAGAATAAGGAGCATGAATGAACAAACACCTTTCACGGCTAGCACAATAAAGCTACATTTAAAAACAAACCGCCACCGAACTGTATACAACTCACGATAAAGAAAACACTATACCACGTGACCTGTGTTCTACAGACTTCTAGACCAGCTTCAACCAACACGTTCTCACTGTTTCACTGTGTAGCCCCAACAGGCTGACGCTTGATTTTATTTCACTTTCTATATCAGAGTTCAGGGACTCCCAGAGGCGTATCTAGGAAGGGGGTGGGGAAGCCAGAGTTTCTTCTTTACCCCCCCCCCCCCAACGAAATGAGGGGGGGGGGGGTAGGGCATAGTTTATTTTTATTTGTATTGTTAGTCGAGACACTTGCCTTCTCTTTATTTCAATTCTTTACGTTTTCACCAGAGTTTCTTCCACGCATCTCTTCTCATCACCCCCCCCCCCCCCCAAAAGTTTACCGCCCCCCCCCCCCCGAACGTGATGGATTTTATATAGTAAACATACACTTTCACTAGTGTCGTCGTCCCCCCCCCCCCCCCCCGAAAAATGTAGATCCCCCCCCCCCCCCCGAAAATTTCAAAAGCCCTCCCAGAGAAAAAAGTCTGAAAGAAACACTGGTTTTCACTGTCTTGTTTGGGTCCCATCTCAGAAATAATAGGTATACCACCGCCCGAACAAAATGGAATTTATATAGAAAATATATACTTCTAACAGTGTCCACATCCCCCCCCCCCCCGGAAAATTTAGTCCGCCCCCCCAGTGGCGGATTAAGGGGGGTGCTGAAAGGGCTGCAGCTACGGGCCCCCGATTTTTAGGGGCCCCCAAATTTACCACCTAATTGTAACTAGTAAAGGCATAAAAAACCAAAAAAAAAAAACCCATCTACATTGGTCAGAATACAATAGGATATCAAATTACGTTTTTTCCCCAAATTTACATACCAGGTACAAGGGGATGGAGGCGGATGGAGGGGGGGGGGAGGGCTCACTTAATCGACCCATCGCCATCCACCTCAGGTAAAACAATCTCCAGGCGACCGTAGTTCTCTTTCCTGCACATAACAACTAGGTGCGACACTAATGTCTTCTTATAAAATACAGCATTGTTCAAATTGAGATGGGGAAGGGGGGGGGGGGGGGGGGTAACTCACTAGGCCTAACATCAACCGTGGCCTCAGTTGTAACAATAAACAATGGCGAACTTTAAACTTTAAGTTTTTTTCCAATTTAATTAAACTGTGAACTCTGTCCGACCCGTTAGGGTAATGGAAACTGGAACCTCTTTTGTTGAGCTTGGCATATCACCCCCCCCCCCCCCACACACACACACACTTCCGGTATGTCCCCAAACTATATCTTCCTCCCCGAAATCCCATTCGGAATTACATTTGTTGAGTCAGTCATTCTTTTGGATTTATTCGCACGGAGTCTACTCAAGAGTTCAAAATTTTTCTTGATTTCCAACCCTCCACCATTATCCAGGCTTCAGACTTTTCAGATAGACAAAGTAATCCTAAAGGCTCGTTCATCAGACCTATATGTCAAAAAATTGCTTGCTGGAGAAAAAACGACAATTTGCAATTTCAGCAAAGAGCCGGACTTTTAATTAGATTCAGCCTTGTTTTTTTTTTAAAATTCTATTGAATATGTCTCGTAACTATCCTAGTGGAGCAAAAAAACGCGCATTATCGGTGAAAAAAAGAAAGATCGAAGCTGAGCTTGCTGAAAAAACTACAAAACTGCTCTCCTTTTTCAAACCAACTTCGAGTATCAAGGAAAATAGTCACGTAGAAAAGGGATCTGCAATTGAATCAGACACCGCCGGGGTAAAAGATGTAGAGCAGGCTCCTACTTTAAAACAATGTGATTTGAAAGATGATACAGCAAAACCCCTTGAAGATAGTCATGCTATATACGACCTTCATTTTTGGCCAGAGCGGGAAAAGATGTCAGAGGCATTTAGAAACTATTGGATTCAACGTGGTACCACACCATGTCAAAACAAAAACGGGGACTTTAAAGAATCAGTCACACAGTTAGAAAGAGAGTCACAACGTCGGTTCTGCACCATTTCTTTATTTACACGTGTCCATGCACGAACAGGAGAAAAATTTGAAAGAAATTGGTTGTGTTATTCCAAAACAAGCGGGTGTGTTTATTGTTTTGTATGTAAGCTGATGTCACCTATAACTAACAAAATGACATCAGGGTTCAAACAATGGAAAAGTGCCCATGAAGTGCTATCTAGGCATGAAAATTCCAAACAACACATTGATTCATTGGCAGCGCTGTGTTCACGAAAATCTACTGGTCAGATTGACATGAAACTTGTAACGCAATATGAAAGTGAAATTCAGTACTGGAGACAAGTACTTCACAGAATCGTGAGTGTGGTACAGTTTCTTTGTATTCGTGGTATTCCGTTTCGGGGTAGAACTGAAGAGGTTGGTTCTCCAAACAATGGGAATTATCTCGGGTTGCTGGAGCTGCTAAGTCAGTACGATACCTTTCTCGCAGAACATATGCGGATACACGCCAACAAAGGACGTGGACATACATCCTACATATCTTCAACAATATGTGAGGAGATGATTGAACTTATGGGCCAAAAGGTTTTGTCTTTAATTGTAGATGAAATAAAGACAGCGAAATATTTTTCTATATCTGTAGATTCGACTCCAGATGTTTCACATGTTGATCAACTCACAATCGTTATTCGCTATGTACAAGACACCGGACCTATTGAGCGCTTCTTAAAATTTGTACCAATGTTTTCACACACTGGTTCGGAAATAGCTAATTTAATACTAACATTTTTGGAAGAAAATGGAATTGACATAAAAAATTGTCGCGGTCAATCATATGACAACGCGTCCAACATGAGCGGCAAGTATAACGGCGTTCAGGCTAAAATCCGGGAGAAGTGTGACGTAGCATTGTATGTACCGTGCACAGCACATTCACTCAATTTAGTTGGGAACTGCGCAGCTGAGTGCTGCCCCACGTCAGTTGGGTTTTTTAATCTCCTTCAGAGCCTTTACTCTTGGCTTTCTGCATCTACCCATCGTTGGCATATACACAACAAGCACATGAATGGATTGCCTGTTGCTAAAGCTTTGTCGGAAACCAGATGGTCCGCTCGACATGATGCTGTTAAGGCTTTAAATAGAGGGTATAAGGAAAATATATCGGCTTTGGAGGAGTTAGCAGCCGATGAAAATCAACCTCTTAAATGTAGAGCTGAAGCTGAAGGATATCTTAAAAGTTTACAAAAACTAGAAACAGTAATATTATTGGAGGTATGGGATACAATTTTAGAGAGATTGCAAAAAACAAATGTATCTCTTCAAGAAAAAGGTTTATCTCTTAATACAGCAGTTAATTTGTTAAAATCTGTTCTCCTTTTTATTGAAAGTCAACGTAATGAATTCGCTAGCTTCGAATCAAAAGGAAAAATTAAATGTGAAGTCAAAGACTACACATATTCCAACAGACGACCACTAAAGAGGAAGCGACAATTTGACGAAAGCAAAGTTTCAGAAATGCAACTTTCTCCTAGAGAAAAATTTATGACTGAAGTATTCATCTGTGTGATCGACCACCTAACTGCAGCTCTACATCATCGCTTAGATTCCTATAAAACTGTTCAAGAAATGTTCGATTTCTTCAGTGACCTGACCAACCTTAGCACTGGTGACATTACAGGAGCAGCTACAAAACTAATCAACAAATATCCCGATGATTTTGAAGAATGTTTTTCATCGGAGTTGATTCAATTCGCCGAGCTGTTTAAATCAATTCATGGGGGAAAAGAGCAAAACGTCTACAGTGATAGCATTGAATTAGAAATGTTGATATTTTTAAATAGATTCAAGTGCATTCAGAGCTTTCCAAATGTGCACATTGCTCTTCGAATTTATCTGTGTATGATGACGTCTAACTGCAGTGGAGAGCACTCATTTTCCAAAATGAAAAAGATTAAAAGCGATCTTAGAAGCACGGCAGCAGAGACTTAGTATGCTCTCACTTATGAGCATAGAAAATGACATTGTAAGCTCACTAAATTATACAGAACTAATAGAAGAGTTTGCTATCAGGAAAGCTCGAAAATGTTCCCTATAAAAGTTACTTGATCTTTAGTTCTAAATAAAAACAACTGTAATAAATGTAAGTATTCTTAATTTCTTTTGCATTAGTAAATAAATAATTGTCACTTTAAATGCTCTTAAGTCTCAATGTAATTTAACATTACATTTAATGTAACATTTTTTGTATATGCCATGGCTTCTGTTAACATTTAGCTTATTCCATTCAACCTTTATTTTTTGGAAAGGCCTCTGTTTTGTGATGTCATTATATAAACTACATATATATATATATATATATATATATATATATATATATATATATATATATATATATATATATATATATATATATATATTTATTTATTTATTTATATATATATATATAGTTTAGGGGGCCCCGGAAAAAGTTTCAGCCAGGGGCCCCGCAGAAGCTTAATCCGCCCCTGCGCCCCCCCCCCTGGGAGCAGCCAGGGAGAACAGCGCCCCTAGCGAACATTTTAAAGACAGAGGAGCCCTTTTAGCCAGTTAAAATAAAAATGGATTAAAACAAGTCGAATTAAAAAAATTCTCTGATTTTTATAGCTTTACGACATTTGTAGCTTATTTTATATAACGAATTAAAATAAAAAAGACCAATACTGCAACCATGCGGATAAGTCCACATATTGGCACTCTAATAGCAATTCCTTTTATCAAAACCGTTTAAGGTTTACAGTATTTTTTGATTAAACGAGAAGCTGCCGCCCTTTATACACTCGCCGCTTCCCCTACCCCAATAACCTACATACACCTCCAGTCATACCTAAATAATTGTCTAGAACTTGCAGTTTTTGCGTCTCTTCTCTGGTTAGATAACGAGTAGCCGATGTGTTTAGTTTACACTATAAATCTCAGCTTGCCGCTCGCAGTGGTCAGATAAGGGCTGTCGTTCTCCGGTTACACCCAGAAGGATAGAGAAGCGTCGGCCGCGAACTTCACGTTCTTTTGAGTAGGCTCTGCGACTGTGGAGAGATTTCTACAACATTCCACGAAGTACCCCCGCTATTCACCAAAACCTCAACTGTTTCCTGTCGAATTGGGCGGGATCATGTGAACAATCGCCTCCACTTTCACACCCACAGGTCACATGTTTAACCCTACCCATCCCTTTCTCACGACCAGAGTTTCTTCCAGGCATCTCTCCGGGGGGGGGGGGGGGCGTAGAAAGTCTACTGCCCCCCCCCGAACGAAATGAAATTTTTATAGAAAATGTATACTTTTAACAGTGTCCGCCCCCCCCCCAAGAAAGTTTACCGCCCCCCCCCCCCGAAAATGTCAAGTCCCCCCCCCCCCCCCCCCCCGAGAAATAAGTCTGGAAGAAACACTGCTCACGACCTATATAATTAAAGTTAATGGTGGCAGAACTTACTTAGTATGTAAATTTACAATTAAGTTAGCAGAATCCAGCTTGGTAAAACAATTAGTGAAATGTGTTAATATGTTCATTATATAATTTCGCGTACTTAACAGCATCAACTATGTAAACATTACGATACTCTAAATCAGCAATTACAGGGTGAATCATCCTTTGAAAGTAATGGGGTCATTCTTCAAACCAAATGGCATTCATTCATACTATACTTAGGTCATCAGGAGTAACGAAGGTAGAAATTTCTTTCTCCCTCTTAGTCAAAACGCATACTAATCTAGACAGGCGGTCCATTTTTTTGGTCAAAAATTTTGCCTGTCAGACTGTTGACTAAATCGTTGATGCGAGGGAAGGGGAAAGAGACAGGGAGGTAACTCTCCTGAAATAGTTGCAAACCAGGAGTATTTTACTCCTTTTTGGGAATAGCAATCATTGGGGCGCTTTGATTACGTAAAACTCCAGCATGTAGTAAACCTCATTTGTAATGAGTGCCAATTTTCAGGGTTAACTTGATAAGGGTGTTGTTTTAATAGGAATAGCATTCCCTACATCAATATTGTGAATTTTGTCTTTCCGGGAACATCAAAGGAATATTGTGGGAATTTGAAAAATAAGATTACCGATGATCGCCCTTTAAACTTCAGACAAGTCGGACAGTTTGTCATTGAGATTAGAAAAGATCTCAGAGTTATGTAACTTTAAGTGTTCTGGCTTGCCGTTGTTCATTTCATCAAACTGACCATGGTCATCTTCTCCAACAACATTCACCGCCGTTGGCAGGGCGGTCCGAAGAGCCCTCCTATAATATATTTTAATCGAGTTAGTATAACTTTGACTTATTTGACTTATTACTTTGGAGCCCGTGAGGAGCAAAAGGCTACAGCTAACCATCTCCACCGGACTTTGCGCTGCTCTCTCTATTAGAGCCCACGTTAGCCCAGCCTTGCCTCTCCTGCCACTGTCCTATTCCAGGATTGCTTTCGTCGGGCTACTTTTCTTTTCCCCTGGGTTTCAGGAAATGAATATGAAATTATTTTTTTCCTGTTATTTTCGTAGTTTTTCTTATCAACTTTTGAATCTGATGTAGAACTATAAGGACCGTTTTCATACGGCTTAATTTAATGGGTATGTGGGATGTTCCTTCCTGCTAACATTACTGAATGAAACAGATGCTTAAATAAATATTAAGAGCGTAGTTTTAAAAAGGTATACGTTTATGTTGATCTTCGGATTTAAAAATACGATTTTTTTACAAGGCCTACTACTAACTACTAGATCTACTAGAGTCTAGAACAAGTCGCTTAAAAAATTATTTTTTTTTAATTTTTTATGTTTTTTTGCAAATGGTACGATTGACAGCAATTCAGATATTTTTATCTGGCCAATCTGAACAGAAAATTGTAAACTTTAACGTGAAGCGCTAAATTTGGATCAAATTATCCAAGTCTTACAATTGTTATAATTTAGCTCTGAGTTTAGATTGCGTTTCTGTTATCTCACCATTTAAATCTGCGGTAAATTACTGTTTTTTATAAGGACCGTTTTCATTCAGGTCTACGGGCATGTGAGCTTCAACAGTCTTGTCAGTCTCTAGACTCTAGTCTACAGTAGTCTAGTCTACACTCTACAGTCTACAGTCTACTACTGTACTACAGTCTACAGTTTACAGTGTTACACAGTAACTCACAACAACTGACAACAGTAGAGTCTAGAATAGATCTAGATCTAGATTAATCTAGATCTAGATTCTAGATCTGATCTAGCGTAGTAGAATCTACGGTAATCCCTTAGTTTAGCGTCGGTTATTATTCCGGAATCGTATAGCAGTAAAAAACAGTAAAACAATGCCAAAGTCTGTCACACACTTCCGGAATTCACCGGAAGTACTGTAAACCATACTTTATTTGGTGTCATCTTTTATTTTTATACAGAATGTTTAAAATTTAGATAGATTTATTTTTGTAATCATTTTTACATTTTGTAATCATTTTTACTATTTTCGTAATCTCGATTTTTTTACTTGGCCTAGCAGCTAGATATCTAGCTAGATCTAGATCTAATTAATTAATGGTAGCAAATCCGCTGCAAGCAAAAAACATTAAATTATTAGGCATATATCCATATTTATATTAGCCTACATTTGACTTCATTATTTATTTATATTAATATTTGTTTTATTTTTATTTTTAGATCTACTAATTTAAATCTACTCTTATATTTATTCTTGTTTCCTTTTTGTCGATTAAACTTAAAAAATTAAAACATTAATTTACTACAATCGACTTTCAATTTATTTATATTTCAATGGTCAAATAAACCATGGTTTACCGTAACTCTAATTACCGAAACTCAACAAACATTACCCGATAATTTCCGACGCTAAACTAAGGGATTACCGAATCTACTCTAGATCAGATCTAGACTAGATCTAGATATCTAAATCTAGATTTCTAGATCTAGAATCTCAATCTAGAATCTAGATCTAGAAATCTAGTAGATAGATCTAGTAAAAATTCTTAAATTAGGCAGAAGTTTAGTTTAGACTAGTTTAGAGTAGAGACTTTTAAAAAATTATAACAAATAGGCCTACTAATAGGCCTATTATAATAGGCCTACTGATTATTCCTAATATTTTAAAAATAAAAATATTTTGAAAATGAACAAAGACAAAATCTGTTGTGACTGATGAGTGCGTTGGTTTATGTGAGTTGTAAATCTAGATTCTAGATCTACTAGATCTAGATTCTAGTAGAAAGTGTGGTCAGAGTGCAATAGTAGTATGGTCTGCCTGATTTCCTAAACAAACACTCACATTGAAACATGAGTCCCGAGAGCATCAAGACTTAAAGGTTGAAGAGTGTTGACTAAGAGCTTTGAAACTAGACTAGATCTAGTATCTGTACAACAAGATGTAATTTTCACATATGAACTTTTGAATCTCCCTTTATTTAATTTTATCAAAATATTTTACATGCTACAGATCTACAGGAAAATACATGTAGTTTTTCATTTGGATTTCAGTTCCAAACCCAGAGCCATTAGGTTAGCCGCCAAGCTCTCCACACATTTGTGGTTCTTTATTTACTTTGTAACCCAAGATTCCAACCACAAATCCTGATTTAGATGCCAAACAACATACAAATGTATGCAAACTATATAAATATAGTCACTTCATAGTTTTTTTTAGTACGTCTAGCTAGTGTGTGTGTGAGTATGTTGGATTGATTATTATTTATTTCAGGATTAAACAATTGTTTACCAAAACCAGTTAGCCTCTAACTTTATTACCCACTTATTCATGTTAGGCTCGATTATAATAAGTTTGAGTGCTGGTAATTACTTGTTTGGAATTTTTATTTTAGATAAGTTTCAAGTTCTAGGAAATAATCTGATCAAATCTACAGTTAGGTTGGTTTGCTACTGATGTACAAAGGACAACTATACCAAGGGACTATACAAGAATGTACACAATAAAGGATTTTTGTGTTGGTGCTGTTAGAAGGGTAAGTTTGATGGCAGTTGAAAGATACATTAAAGAGTGAGCATAATAAAAATCCACCTGAAGGGAGATGCTGCTAATCTAAAAAACATTTGTATCACTTTTTTTACAGACTCCTCAGTCAAACTGTATTAAAATAACCTTTACACACCAATATTTTCACAGCCTTATCCTAAACATCATATTCATAAAATGGGTACTAGAAGCCTATACTATTGCATGATTCTTTAGGGTAGCCTATGTTTCCAACACTTGATGAGGTATGGTTCATTCATACTGTAATCAGAGATGTATCATTTCCTTTTTTAGGAAATCATTTTTTCCACCTTTTTGAGGTCAGATTTCCCTCCAAACTATAGATGAGAAAAATATACTTAGCCCTATTTAATTAAAATTTTCATTTACAGTAATATTTCCATAAAATTTATAATATCCACAATTTTGTAAAAAAAAAACATGACTACGGGTCCTGTTTCCATCCCTGTTAAACTGAAAATAAAACCCCATGGTGATGCTTTACTTTCTTGGATTGAGGTATCACAGTATTATTACATAGTAATTATTTTATACATCACATAGTAATTATTTCATATTTAGCTAAAGCTAGGAAGCTAAAGATGCTGAACAATGACTGTTAATTATCAGATTGCTTTGCCTTAGTACTGCAGCCAATTTTTTTTGACTTTTAAAAATTATAATATATTGCTAGTAGGCTAACAGAAACTGATCATGTTTTGGTCACTTAAGATGGTAAATTTGACAATCATCATATATTTTAAATTGATGTTACAAAAATTTGATTTCAGAGCAAAGCAGCTGTAAGAGTACTTGTAATGGGAGAAGATTCTGCTTGTGTCAAAGATTCGTCATGCAACAATAATAAAGATACAGATGTTACAGTTGATGTAAGAAGATTATTTACTTGATATCTTAAATTAAAAACTGTAAAGATATGTTGTTGCTCACTGTTAGCGTTAGTGATACACTTTTTGTTATATGAACTTGATTTGTGCATTCCACACACAACCATTTTTATTTTAGAATGATAATTATCAATATTCTTGATCTTGTTTTTTTTTTACAGGCTCAGCTAGAAGTTACAGACGATGGTGATCAACATAAGTGTATCAAATGCAATAAGTTTACTTTTCAGTGTGTTGCTCTTCATGGAACTTGTGTTGATATTCAGTTGTCCACTGAGTCAGCACAGACAAAAACTGAAAGGTAACTAACAATCTCACTGCCTTTAGAAAAAATAGTAATCCGCATAATCAAGTGAAACTTGGTTTTATATGACTAGTTCATTAAATTTTATAAGTATTTGTTTCTCCGAGGATAACAGTAAATAGTAAGTACTTTCAAATGCTTATTTGTGAAGGATTCGTTAACTATAATTCAGGTTATAACCACATTGAGATTATAAATGGTATCAACCTAGTAGTTCAGGAAAAGATTAATTTGTTAATAAACTTCACAGGCCTCTGACAGTTGAAGCCTCTACACAGACTCTTTCTACTCCAGTCATAACTTCATCATCCTTACCTGATCTTGTAAGTTCTGCGCCAGTGAGAGCTCAAGGACCACCTCCGCCCCCACCACCACCACCTCCTCCACCCCCACCATTACCGATATCATTGGGAAAACCGCCATCATTAACCGCTGTCAAAAAGAAAAAGACTGTAAAGAAAAGAAAGGTTAGTTTTAATTTTCACTAACTATACCAGATATGTATGTTAAATGGTTGAAGTTTTAACAGCAGCCAGCTAAAACTTGTTAAAGGCATTCTAATAATTTCCAGTCTGGAGGGTTACCACAAGCTCCTGAAATAACTGCTGAAGCTTTGAAAACTGTCAAGTTAAGAAAACCAGAAGAAAGAGTGTTGAAGTCTGTACCCCAACCCCAACCAAATGCTAGTGGAAGTCCGGTGAGTTTACTTTAGTAGCTTTAAAAATTACAGATAAATTGTGTGCTCTTGTGTAGTCAGGGTAGTCTTACTTTCATTAACCACATTATTTTTTTAATGATCATTTATAAAAATGTAGCCCCAGATGAGATTGAATTTTAAATACTTTTCTTTAAAGTATACTCCCTTGTCATAACCCTGAGAATCAGTAACAAAAAAGTCTATTGCTGGCTTTAGGTGAAGCATGTGGGATAGAGTTAACATGAAGGCCAGCAGATTCTAAAGGTCACACCAAAGTGACTACAGTTTAATACTGTTCATCCTTCTTTATATATAATTAAGGCTTAGATGGTTCCAATGACTTAAAATTTTAATACAATGGCTAGAAGATAGTTGAATTTAGAATACTTTTATGCATTTATTTCATTGACATATTCAAGCTGGCATTTTAGTTTTACTGACAACACCAACCTTGACTTTACAGTGTAACTTTGATACTGGCTTATGTATATTTGTGGATTTCCTTTAAATTATAAGGCCAGGGTGGATTTAAAAGATTAAAAAAACCTTGATTAGAGTATAGGTTATAACTTTCTTAAACCCTTTGAACCCAGATGTTTATTTTGCAGAAACATGAAGTTAAAAATCAGAAAATTCATGCTCTTTCAAAGCCTAACCAGAATCCGGTAATTTAAAAGTAGTTTGTATCTAATAACGTTGTTTTATAAGAATTGTTCAATACTGGTAATAACTAAAATGTTATATAAAGAACTTTTAGATAGAAATTAGTGCCCAAATTGAGTCTTTCATTGATTAAATTCATGTTGTAAAATTATCTAATCTATGTTCAAGAGAAATAAAATTGTGAAATCCTCATCTGCTCCAACATCACCTAAATTTCATAGTCCAACCACTGGGTCACACCAAAAGGCCTGTACAAAGGCTACTAAGGTTTCCAGCAAAAGTTTTGTTTTGTGAATTCAGTTTTTTTTTCTTTGCTTTGTATTAGTTTAAACGTTTTTGTTTTCATTCGGTTACTGTCTAATTAAAGGTGATCAAGAAACATATGAAAGTATTAAGATAACTAAATCTATAGTCACAATTAGAATCCAGCTTATTAAGAACCAGTTACATTACAAACATTAAAATAAGTAAAGTAAAAAAACTACCTGTTACTTCCTCATACTAATAAAGTCCATTCAGTACAAATGTAGGATACCAACATACCCAAATCCTACATTGATAATTGGAATCACCCTACTGTATTTTTTTCAAGAAATTTTAATATATCTATTTTAAAAAATTATGCCTGAATTATAATGCCCCATTCATTGTTGATAGATTTTAAAATATTTTGTTTAAAAAAAAAAAAAATTAGGATGAGTATGCAGCAAAATCTGAATATAAAAAAAAATTCACTTTTAAAACAAGTTAACTTAATTATCACTAAAGCATTTTTAAAAACATGAACCTATAATTTTCATTTATTCTATTTGCAGAGTTTAATTGCCCCACCTAGTATCACACTGGATACTTTAAAGAGTGTTTCACTGAAGAAATCTGCCAGTAAATCTCCACAGAGGAGCACTGCTAATTCAAAAGAGAATTTTGAATGCAAAGCTGGGGAAACAATTGATTTTAAACAATTCTTAAAGAGAACAAGGCTTGCTCGCAGCCCTGGTGGCACACCAATGCCTAGCAAGAGGAAAAAACAGCCGACAGAAGAAACCACAAGTTAATCAACTTTTAAATACAGATTTTCTATCATATAGTCTTTTGCAAATTACTTTCATTTTGAATAATAATGTGGCTAATGATTGAAAATGTACCAACTTATAATAAAAGGGAAAAGATCATGATTATATTGTATCTAAAGTTTTATCCACTGGAAGGTTAAAAATGTTAAGGGGGAGCTAAATTGTTTTTAAAAGTTGTATCATTGCTTTCACTTTTAATTTATTTCATATTCAAGATTTATATTAATATGCTTAACCGGATGATTATTTTACATGTTTTGTCTTTCAAATTCGTTATGTGGGCTTTCTAAAATGTAAATTACTTATGTACATAATATTTGTAAAATGTTAACAGAAATTTAGGAATTTAATGCTAAAAAAACTGTATAGCAAATTCTGAACATAGCTTATGTAGGATTGTGCTGTTTCCTACGTATGTTTTGTTGATCCTTATTGCTTTTATTTTATAGCCAATCCTTTTAGCCCACCTCATCTACCAGATCACTAGGTAAAGGGGCATAACTTTATGCTATTATACATTTTATTTTAACCACATGCATTTTAAACCTTAAAATCAAATCAAAATATAAATATATATAAAAATGAATTTCTTGAACTTAAATAAAATAAAAGTTAGGGATAAATGAGTTATGTTTATGGTCATTAGAAAATTAAACAATTTAAAAATAATTTCTTCCAGTATTCCAAACATTAAACCTGTTTGCTTATCAATATTTTGACATCAGTTACTTCTAAAAAATGCCCACTTTTTAAGCAGAAAGATAATTTATAACATGTATAATATAACCACTGTGTGTTGTTGGCACATTATTTTATTTCATTATCATTGTCAGTAAATATTTTACCTTGTCTATGTACATACAAGTCAAATACTCTGGTTTCTTTTAAATTAAAAGTTATCAAAAATAAAGTATGATTTTATCTTCTGTTTTAGTTTTATACAAGTATACATATTTATTATACACTTCTATTTTTATGGTCATTAAGATCCAGGATATTACTTGGAAAGAGGGTGTGGGTGAGACTTCAATATAATGCTGGCCAAATAGTATTTGTAAATATCTGAACAATGAGTGTTTTGACCTGGAGAAAATAGAAAATAATTTTACTTGAGTCTTATGTCTCTGTCAAAGTGAACAATCAAAATAATAAACAAGACTAAAAGTAATCTTTTCAAAGCTGCTGTATTCATGAGTTTAAAAAATATAAGTAGCCAACTTTATTTTTATTGATGTTTGACATGTCGGTCATTGTCACATGAGCCTAACACAAAAACAGGATTATGTTTATTATATATTAAATGCTCTTCCTAACATGATAGCCTAACTTCTGTCTAGGAGATGATAGCTTCAGATATCCAAAATATTTACACATGTTTGGTCAAAGGAACAATTTAAGACTATGTAGACCTATTTCTATTGGTGGTGACTTGGTTGGAAGCTGTTTATGTTTAGTACTTGAGCTTGTCTCCCTTTTATTATTGTATTTAGTAATCTTTTAATAAAATTTTAATTACTAATCTGCCTAATCAGATTTAAAAACAAAGATTATATTGTATTATTATCTGAGACTTATGAATCTAAAAGTTTGAACAAAATTGCTGCATTAGAAGTGGATCTAAATTGAATACCAATATTTGCCACAAACAGGTATGATGAACAAATTAAAAGAATTCACTGGGAACAGAGGCGTAGCGAGGGGGGGGGGCAGGGGGTGCGGACCGCACTGGGTGACACCATTTAGGGTGGTGACACCAAGGCAAAAAATAGCAAACTATTTAGAGAAAAACTTGAAGGGGGGGGGGGTGCAAATCAAAAGTTTAAGGGGTGGGGGTGCAAATCGAAAACTTGAGGGGGGGGGGTGCAAATCAAAAGTTTGAGGGGGGGGGGGTGCAAATCGAAAATTTGTCCACGGGAAGGGTCGCTACGCCACTGGGGGTGACACCATTAAGTGCCGCACCGGGTGACACCCGACCTCGCTACGCCACTGACTGGGAATATTGAAAAACAACTGGATACCAAGAAGACATGCCTATGAAATATACATTTGTAAAATCAATTAGAATTTAGATCTATCCATATCTAATAATTTTAAAATGAATATATGGGGCGTAACATTTTTTAGGTTAACTATAATGTTTCTTTCTTCTGGGCATCCCTTTGTGCAGGGGGGGGGAGGAGGGCTCCCCAAAAGCACATCTACCACCCCCGTCCCCACCCTTCTGAACAAAAACATTTTTTTATACTTTAACCAGTGTCTGCCCCCACCCCCTAGAAACACATTGAAGCACTGACTATAACTTTAGATCTATAGCATAGGAAACAATTGTAGTATTATATATTGAGTATAGTTTAGAAAAAACTAATAAATAATTGAGAATTATTAATTCGTCTGACATTTGTCCTTCAATACTAACCAGTGTTTCTTCCAGACTTTTTTCTCCGGGGGGGGGGGGGGGCACTTGAAATTTTTGGGGGGGGGGTGGTAGACTTTCTTCGGGGGGGGGGGGGGCGGACACTGTTAAAAGTATATATTTTCTATATAAATTATATAAATTTCATTTCGTTCGGGGGGGGGGGGGGGGGGGGGGGGCTGTAAAAAAAATTTCGCCCCCCCCCCCCGAAGAGATGCCTGGAAGAAACTCTGATACTAACTAGACCCACTCCCCGTTAACTGGCTTAATGCCACGTTGGTCTGCAAACAAATTTATTTAGTTATAGCTGCATAACTGTAAGCCTTTTAGCGAGTTTCGTTTTACTTTCCTATTAAATTTGTTGACTAAATGCTAAAATATTTTTTTAAGTGCAATGCTTGTAAAATAAGTAAACAAATATCGTTACATTACAATTTACTGTGCTTTAAATCAAATACTTTTAGCCACTTAAAAGTGTTTGGATACATTAGTTTGAGAAAATCAGCCAATTCCGGTTTCAAAATGGCAACTCCATAGTTAGATAAATATTTATTTTTTAATAAAAAAAAAATAAATCATTTTATTTACTGTAGTAATTAAAAAATAGGTAATATCATTACCTGGTTTTGTACTCATTTTTTGATGCTTCGGTATAGGCTTATCATATGCTGATATTGATAGTTCAGATGGAGTAAAATCGCGAAAACTGCAATTTTTTATTACAAGTCCAGAATCTGAGAATGAGAAACCCCAGATTGGGAAATCCAAAAAAACAATACAGCGGCCTACTTACTAGTCTATATCTACATTAAGTTAGTTTAGTAAACTAGAGATCTAGATCTACGTCACTAGATCTAGATCTAAATCCCAATACCTTTAACAACAAACAATCAACAAGATCTGGAGTCTAGAGTAATTCTGGGAGTGCTAGACTTAGACTAGAAAATAAAATTAAATAAATATTTTTAATTTAGAAATTACATTAATTTTATAATTTAGATCTAGAAATCTAGTAGGCAGCTGTATTGTTCTAGATCTAATAATTTTAGTTTTAGACACTTCTTTCAGATTCTAGGTCTAGATCTCTAAACTAAACTTTTAAGGCGTCATCCATAAATGACGTCACGCTTTTTTGGACGATTTTTTGGATGATATTTCGAGTCGACCCTTTGAATCCCGGTCAGAACGTCCCCCCGTCGTGGCCTCAACCAACCGGCGGGCTTGTTGCATTGAGTTAAATATAAACTCAAAACAATAATATAAACAATCTCCTTTCGGTCTCAGGCCACATACCACGCACGCATAGTGTTGTGTGTCGTGCCTTAACCAAAATAAACTCTATCTCCCTTCATTATCATTAGATATATTTAATTAGTTAATTAATTAATTAGCTAATTTATAAAATTATGTATGATGCTATAGCAGTAGGTAAGTTACGGTAAGTATAATTTTTAAACTATGTAGGCCTATTAGTACTATTAAAGAACACACCTTCGTTGTTTCAATACCACCCCCTCCCTTCTTGAACTCAAAGTTAAACTTTTAACCCCGTTCGTAGAGACATGCGGTATGTTGTAAGGCGGCGGGTGGGTAGGGGTATATACTCATTGAAAAAAAATCCACCGTGGTGCGTGTTATTGGCCTTGGGCCTTCGGTGACGTTGTTTTGTGTTTGCTGTGAGGGGGAGAGGGGTTGTGTTATACTAGTTAAAAAAATTGCACCGTGGTATTGGCCTATGATGACGTTGTCGGCGCAAGCGAAGGGGGGGGTGGGAGACACATTTTTTTTTAAAAACCAGAACTAGGCATTTAAAGGCTGTAATAAAAATCAAGGACTGGAATAGCTATGAGGTCGAATTTAACGAGTGATGCTTGTTGGGTCTAATCATACGATTGCTAGGCGATGGGAGTCTCATCAAGCTCAGTTTACATTATTAACAGTGAACTATTGGGATGCTGTCATGCACAAAGTAACAGCTACCGAATGGCGAATGTAGCACTTAAAACATCGAGTGCATCCCGCTCATTATAAATCTTTGAAATACAAGTTAATGGATTGTCCAAAAACTTGAAGGACTGCCAGAATATATGCATTGTATTATAACATTAATCATTACGATATAAATAAAATTTGTATCCAAATATTTTAGGCTAAGGGGTCATCCATAAATGACGTCACACTCGTAGGGGGGAGGGGGGGGTCCGTAATTTTGTGACGATGTGTGATGAGGGGGAGGGGGGGGTTCAGATGTTGCGACGTCACATTTTTGCATTATAAAAAAGCAATGTTAGAAAAGGAATTTTAGACGTTATTTTATTTCGCGTTTTAGATAACTGTTTTAAATAATTTTAATAGTTTAGACAAGATTTTGGAAAAATATCGATGTTTAAAAAAAATTCAACTGCAATTTTGAGGGGGGGGGGGTTGTAGGTTGAGGTGTGGACGTCATTTTAGGGGGGGGGGTCTTGCTTTTTGTGACGACGTGTGACGGAGGGGAGGGGGGAGGTAAAAATCGTCAAAAAGCGTGACGTCATTTATGGATGACCCCTAACGGGATCTGCATTTAAATAAACAAGACCTATTAGGCTACTTTTGCATGGTAGCACAACTACATTTTAAGATTTCATAATGAGTAACCTAGTCGTGCATTAAAGGGCTGTACTCAATAACAATGGAAAAAAAATGAAATGCCGGCTTCAAACTTCAAGCTATTATTCCCCGTATTCTTCTACTAGAAATATAGCTCCGTTGTTTTAAATGACCTCACCCTCCTCCTCTCGCCTAGTTCAATTTAAAGTTACACTTTCAACCCCGTTAGGATGCGTGAACTACTGATGACCTAACTATTGAAAAAAAAACTGTTCTGGTGTTAAATTGCCCTCCCCTACTCGCAGCACTTAACTTTGGGGCCATACACATCAGGAAGGTCTAGGTCGGTGTTGTATCTCGTGCAAATTTACTCACAACACGACTACACACTATGGTGGTATCCAGGATTAAAGCTGCGACACTTACTTAGAGTGGGATTTAATTCGTTAGATCATTGTGCTTCAAATTCTGTTTCAATATTGGGATTAGATGGATATAATGTTGGAATTCAGTTAGTTTGTTATATTATATTGATCTAAAATGTCGTGTACCATCAGAAACTAAATTGGTTGACAAGACACATGTGTAGGCTAAAGAATGACCTCTAGATCGAGCCAAAGATGGCTGGTTAAGGTTGACAAACAGTGATTTTCAAATTTCACGGTGATGCTTTTCTAAAGGAGGATTTTATTTTGTGCTTTCTTTGGGATTATTTGTGTGATGTGAATATTCAAAAGTAATTTGTAAGTAGTATGCTTTTCACATTCAACCATTTTAACAGTTTGCGATTGATCTGCGGCCGGGCTGATTAATTTACATTTAGCGAAACTACACACTACACTGCGCCCCCAGGCCGTTGTTTCAGCTTGCCCTACTAGTCAATTATAGACAACTTTAGAATCAATACATGTGGCCAATACACCGATTTTTATTTAATAATCTTCAAAAGCCATTCCCTCTAGGGGTCGTTATTTTCACAAAATTGTCGTTTTCATTTTGTTGTCAAGAAAACTGGTATTTAGTTCACGAGAACGTATGAAAACCACTCATGCGTGACCGAAATCGTCGATTGGGTGCGTTCACGTGGTTTGACACGTGCTGACCTAGGCCGTTGTTTACATCCAAAAATCACCCAAAACGGCCTTTTTTCGAAAAAAATTGTTTGAAAAAATGGCTAAGTCCAATTTTAAAAAGTGTCATTTTCGGGCCCATTTTAAAAAACGTAAAAAAATCCGAACTACACGTAGAAAAAAATGGCTTTTTTCGGCCCTTTTTAGCTCCAAAAACGCGTCGCGTGACGTCATCGTGACGTCAGGCCGCCAACCAAAACGCGGAGAAAGCGCGCGTTTGATTGGTTGGCGGCTGACCACTATGAAATCCTATAGGGACGATTCGAATTGTATACCGATTTTTTTGACTCCCCCCCTCCCTCCCCCCGTCACACATCACAAAAAGCCAGACCTCCCCCCTCCTTATATGATGTCACACTTTAGCCTACAACCCCCCCTCAAAATTGCAGTCTCGAGTTCGAATCCGGGTTCTAGTCAGTAGACGTCCCTGAGTCCACCCAACTCTGATGGGTACCTAACTCACGTTAGGGAAAGTTAAGGCGGCTGGGTATAGTAGTGACCACACTATCTCTTCATATGCCGAGGTCACAGAAACAAGTGAACTCTACTTCACTTGCCCCATAGACCGTCAGGTTTGAAAGCGAACTTTACTTTTACACTTACACCATCTGAATATCCCTCCTTATCACACACCATCACAAAATTACGGACCCCCCTCCCCTTACGAGTGTGACGTCATTTATGGATGACCTCTTACTCTTAGTTTGACTCTAGGTTTTCTATTTAATTAAGTTAAAACTTAATTAGTAAATAGTAATAAAGAGGTCTATCTAGTAACTACACATTGAGGCCTATCTACTAACTATCTAGATATATAGTAAACTGTAGATCTAATTCTAGCCAGACTGATCTGTCTAAAAACTCAGACTGTAATTTGAACTATTACTATTTTATCTTGTGATGATCTTTCATTCATTTTCATACTCATAGGCTGTGGTTACAATCTTAGGAATTACATGGACAGTCATGAGTAGTCAGTAGGGCTAATTTAAAACTAATTTTAATTTAAAATATGCTGATTTATAATTTAAAGTAGGCCTATAAGGGTGTGGGGAAATTGCGAGACGCGAAAAGCGAAATGGCGAGGCGGGAAAATGCGAGAAGGGCGCGAAAACGGTCGGTCACGTGACTTTTTGTCTCGCATTTTACCACAACCCGATACTTACGCTGGGTGGTGTTGAAATGCGAAGATTTCTGCGAAAAATTTACCGCACCCGATTTTCAGTGGTATTTGGTCCAGACTTCAAAGACGTTTCGTTTACATTGTTAAAACTTCCTATTTTTCCGTCGCTAGACATACTGATGAATTGTCCAACTCACCCCCCCCCCCCCCCCCCCCCCCCCCCCCCCCAATCTTTTGTGTTGACTTCTGTCTTTGGTGTGGAACGCCGAGGCCGCCTGATTTACCGTCTTTGAAGATCACCGTGCCCAGATCCGCTGCCGCCGCAAACATATTTTCTATTGTTGCATAGAAATTGGTATTATAGCCGCCGCCTACGATTTTTTTCTAACGTTTTTTTTACCATATAAATATAAGCACAAGGTTGGATGTACTATGTGTGAAAGATGGTGTCACGAGGTGTGTTTGAGTAGTGCTAGGACCTGTTTCAGAAGATTTTGTTTGTAAATTTTGGTTGTAATAAAAAATATTTAATAAAAAAAAATTACACTTTATAGAATTGTTTATACTTTTACACTTTTTGCAAGTACAAAAATCCATAAATACATGTTGCAGAATATCTCCAATTCACAATGACACAGCTCACGGGATTTTCCTCTCGCTAACGAGAGCGGACGATGACAGTAGCACAGCAACGATGTTAGGATTTTTTAATAGATCTAGATATAGATCTATCTATCTTCTTAGTATCTATCTATCTATATAATAAAATCTAGATAAAAAATAACAACATACAACACTCGTGTTAAAGGGTATGGCTAAATGCTTGTTTATTTTTAAAAAAAAAAATAATTTAAATAAATAAAGATGAAAAAAAAGCATGAAAAAAACTTTTTTTTTCGCAAAAAGTGTCTCGCTATTTACCCTTAATTCCGCAGGTATGTCTCGCATTATCTTCTCGCATTTTCCCGCCTCGCCATTTCGCTTTTCGCGTCTCGCAATCTCCCAACACCCGGCCTATAAGTAGGCTGTTTGGTTCATCAGTTCATCTTTTCATTTTATTGTAGGCCTATGAGTTTTTGGATGTGTGTTATAATGGCATTGATTTTCAGAATGATCAAGCTGTATTATTAGCCTGTTGCAGGGTTGCAAGAATATTAGGCCTAAGTAATAAGTATAGGAGAAGTATTTATTAATTAATGGATGGTTTGTTAATGTTACCCAAATGAGAAAGAAAAAATGGGCAAAACTTTATTCAAATGAAGTAGGGCCTATGTCTACCTGATTATTTCTTAGATGTAAAATTGGATAATGGGCATGATTCTGCCTCTTGAAATTAGCCAAGAAATTACACAAACGGATTAAGTTGCAATAGGCCTCTATCCCACCATAATAATGATGTAATTAAAAAAAAAATTTTTTTGGTACATTTGGTTTAGCCAAAATGTACATTTTTTTTCATTTTTACTTCCATTCTAAATTTAATAAAAAAAATTGGTTTATTTATTCTTATAATTATAATAAATAGTTTTAGCTCTTTATTTCACAGTTGAGGAACAATGTCCAGCGGTAAACGGCCGGCAGAGGAATCTGCTAGCTCTACAGCTGGCGCACCAGCAGCAAAGAAAATGGCTATACCCTATGACAGCCTACAATTGGGAAAGATATACTCACTTGTTAGTTCATCACTGGTAAGTATTATGTATTAAAAGCATCCACATGTGGTTTTTTTTTTTAAGGTTTAGGTTATACTATACCTAAATTATTTAAAAAATTTGGGGGGAATTTTTAATACCAATACCAATATCCGATAATAGAATCTTCTCAAAAAGGGTTGTTAGATTACTGGTAGTTAACTAAAATACACACATGGCTTGCTAATGTCAATGCTAACCCTATTCCTCAACCAAACCCTACTCCCACCATATGACTAACCCTAATTTCTAGCCATAAAACTAGTCGAGATTACAATACTCCTAACAACCTAACACACCTATTTTTGGAAGAGTCTTATCTGTATTTTCAATCCGAATTTAGAAAAAAATAAAAAAATTTTATGTAAATATTATTTTACCTTATTATTTAATTTTTATTAACGGATGTAAATTTGAAATCACATATGTGTTGTCAAATTCTGTCCCATACTTAACTAATGAATTAAATTATCTTATTTATCACTTTAAATTTAAACAATGAAACACAGAATTGAATAAAAAAACTTGTAGGGAAATTGCATTTAGGAGTTGAAGAACTGATCTTGTTGACATTTAAAACAAACCATTTTCATTAATACAACAGGAAGAACTTGACATGAAAGTTCTGGTGTTTCAAAATAAAAAGTTAGCAGAGAGGATTGAACAACGTAAAAAGGCTGAAACAGAGTTACGGAAGCGTATTGAACAACTAGAGAACAGACAACGTACAGACGATGCTGTGCTCATGATTGTGAATCGTTACTGGAATCAGGTGAAGATATGCATTTAATTAAGTAGCTAATAAATTACAAAAATGTCTAGATTGTATTTATACTGTGTTGTATTTATATAAATAAATAAATAACATTAATTAACATGCATTTTGAAAACTATATTTTTTTCTGAACTATTAGTTGGATGAAGATGTTCGTGTTTTGCTTCAGCGATTCGATGCAGAAACTTCTGATGAGACAGAAACAAAAAGTAAATTTGCCTTTTGTCAATCATTTTGGTATTTTGTGCTGCCAGGCTTAAACAGTAATAAAAAAAATCAACTGTGTTATGATTATGGTCTTAAAAAGAGTATCAAATTATAGATGCCATTATTATTTTTAGGAATATATTGAAGAACCTTGTCAAGGATATACTTATCCAAAATGCTAATGATTAAAATAGCATGATTTTGATGGGTTTATTTATTCTTTCATGAAATTGTTTTTTTCATATAGCTTCTTCAAAAACTTTTATATGCACATCATTGTTAATATCACTCAATTTAATGTTCGTAATTGTTTTTTTAATGAACAGATGAAAGTAGTGAACTGACATCTTTCTTAACACTGTTATCTACATGGGACAAACAGGAACTGGAAGAGAAGCTTGGTCAGCGTGTGGAGTTCTCAAAGCGTGCTATAGGGAAGCTTCTTCAAGCGTTCGACAGAATGCTGCAAAGAAATGAAAAACTACATCATGCTATTGATGAAAAAGTAATTTAGGGTTAATCTGAGTTTAGATTGCCATTTTTAAAAATACAGCTGTTTGTGGATGTTTTCAATTACTACATTTTAGTTGATTTAATTTAAATTAGTTTTACTTACCGTTAATTAATTTAAACAAGGAAAACGGTTTTCATAAGGCTCTTATTATATAGAACAGATATTTGCTTCTTGTTTTACGCTTTAACAAACAAAACTATCAAAACCAAATTTACTTTGTACAAATATTTAAGATTGAACAGAATGAAAAGGACTCAATGCTTGAAGATGGTAAAACAGAAGAGGACAAGGAAGAGAAAGAAGAAAAGAAAGATGAAGGTAATGAAGAAGAAGAAGAAAAAGAATTAAAGAAGGAAGGTAAATTCTAATTGTTTTTACTCCCCTTCTGTAGTGTAAAGCTGTTTCCTAGTTTCTTTTTGGACACTGCTTCATTGTAACACTGTCACTGAACACTCTGCAGTGTGGTGTAGTCTGTAGTGTAAATATGGCTAGGTTAGTGGTATATTTTGTCTGAGGGAGGGGCTAGTGATTGTAAGTATTGTCTTTGTGTTTATGTATACATGTTTATTTTACCATGTATAATTAATTGAACAGTTATGTAAAGAAAATTTAAACAGTTTTTTTATTCATTAGCGCTGTTATTCAGTTAAGTTTCAAAACTAATTTTAAGCTTAAAGAATATTGGCACTTTTTAGTTTATAGAAATTCTCTAATAATCAAACATTTATCACTGTCATTTTATAATCTTATCAGACATTTACTTTTGCTGTGTGTTTGCAATTGTTTTAATTCTGTTAAATCTGAAGTGAAAGAAATTAAAAAACAAAATATTTTCCATTTCTTTTTTTTTGCAAAGAATATGTGAACTATACATTTAATTTAATTCTAACTTAAATTAAAAAAAATGGACTGACCATATGTCGTATGGACTGACCATATGTCGTAAAATGAAGAATTTTTCTTAAAAGATTCATTGTGTTAATGTTTCTGTAATGCACTCGCCACTCTTTTATGATTACACACAATTAGATTTTAGTATTATTTGTTTTAAACTTTCTTTTTTAAATGGTCATTTGATGATGGATATACCTTTGTCACAACACACTACAGGGTTTGTTTTATATGTGGTGCTAGTAATTGTATCTTATTTGTGGCTTTGTTTTATCTGGGATATATATCTAATTCTTAAAAAACTTTGTTATTTTTTAGGTTATCACATTTTTTAATATTACAATCTCAGCTTTTATTTTGACTAGTATTACATTACACATTTATATAAAGAAATAAACTTTTTAGGATTCTAATAATCAAAAGTCCATTTCAGTGTAAAAAACAGTTTTTTTTTCCAGATTTAGAATATTAAATTTAAAAAAATAGGTATTCTATACGCATATTCAATATTAAGTAGACTAAATTTTAAAATATTTTTTAGGTGAAGAGCCTGAAGAAAAGGCCAGTAAGACAGATGAGGAGATGCCTGAAGTGATAAAGGAAGAAGAGAAAGAAGAAAAGGTCCCAGAGATGAGTTTGTCTGATATAGTGAAGGGAGAATTGGCGGACCTGAGAAAAGAGACCAAGCAGCTACACAATCTTGTGACGCAGCTGCACCAGCGTCACCATGAACACACTCTCCATGTTAGTTGGTTTTTTTTTCTGTTTGACATATGTATCAATTCACACAGATCCTTGACATTCACATTAACCATTCTCCCACTTCATCATCAAACTTCACCATATCCACACAACAAATTTAATCCACATTCATGTGACCAAACCCATCCATATCCACACTACCAACTCAATCCACATCCATGTGACCATACCCCACCATATCCACACTACTCTCTCCAACCACATCCATTGACCAAATCCATCTATATCCACACTGCAACCTCATCCATGTGACCATACCCCACCATATCCACACTACTCTCTCCAACCACATCCATTGACCAAATCCATCTATATCCACACTCCAACCTCATCCATGTGACCATACCCCACCATAACCACACTACTCTCTCCAACCACATCCATTGACCAAATCCATCTATACCTACACTCCAGCCTCATCCACGTGACCATATCCCACCACATCCACTATATCCACCAGATCAACTTCACCCTGTTGTGTGTGTTACCTTTACAAGCACATTACCAAATTTTACCGTACTCATATTTTTTTGTCCCAGATCTCTGAGTTACAAGACAAGCTGACGGCCTCTGAGACAGAGATAGCTGAGGTAAAAAACAAGCTGGATGACCTGGAGTACATGTATGAAAAATCTGAATACAAGACAGACAGTTTGGAGCGCAGGCTAGCAGAGGTCACAGAGAAGTTACAGTTTTACCAGGAGACAACTGGCAACATGCCCCTCTCTGGACTTAAAAATCTGCCAGGTGTACCAACAGGGAGGGTAAGTCTGTGGGTTTTGTCATGTTTGGTTTTTAAATCTCAAGATAATTTTTAACATACAAGTATTTGTATTTCATCTGCTTAGTTTTTCATTCAAAATTTTGTTTAAATAGTTGTATTTAAGACAATACAAATTTATTAAATGTTGATGCTTTTTGAGCTTGCTGTGACCATATTGTGATTTACTAATAACACATGTAGAATAAAATGCAGTATATAGCTTGTGTGGTTAATTGAAACAATGTCTGACTTTTCTCTCATTTAGTTGGATGAAATTCTGTCTGAGCTAGAGGAACACAAGGAGCTCTCTACCAACAGGCTGATGGAGTTAGAAAAATTGAGTGCAGACTACCAAGAGACACTAACAGAGGTCGAAAAGCTTAAAATGGATGTAAGTTCATGTAACCATTAAAAGTCTTGTCTTATAGTGTATTAGTAAATGTGTTCTGTATTAATATATGTGGTCATAAATGTATGTAGTTTATTTTAGTACTTAAAGTCTGTTATTCAGGACTTTATTTCCCCAGCTACAACACCTGCCAGAGAATGTCATTCTTGAGACAACAGAATACAAGTGTTTGCAGTCACAGTTTTCTGTTCTGTACAATGAAAGCATGCAAATTCGAACTCAGTTAGAGGAAATCAGAAATCAGATGACCATCAACAAAAACAATCATGGACGGCAGATAGAACAAATGGAGGTTTGGTATTGTTTCAATCCTTTTATAAGTTATACAATTGTTTCTTTCCTTTCAAAATACCTTCATTGATCATTAAGGAAGTATACATTTTTAAAATGTATTTTGAATATGACAATGTTAACATGTGTTATCTTATGACAAACTAATAGATTGATGAATTAGAGGGCCAGAAACGACTGAGAACAGAAATGATTCAAGTGGAGGACAATTTGGCCCAAACCAGGAAGGAATATGATATGTTGAGGATAGAGTTTGAACAGGCTATGGCAGCTAATGATCAAAATTGTAAGCTTTGTTTTAGATTTATTAATAAGGCTCAAGTAAACAAATTATTAAAGTTTCCAATAATATGTTTTTACATTCAATTTTAGTGACGATTAATCGTGAAATGCGAAACCTAATTCAGAGTTTACAAAATCATAACCAGCAACTCAAGATGGAGTCAGCTAGATATAAACGGAGACTTAGAGAAGCACAAGCAGAAATTCATAAGGTGGCTGTTTTAACTATACCAGACAACATAAAATTTAATATAAAAAATTTTTTTTTCGTTAAAATTATTGAAACAATTTTTATATAAAAGCTGTTTTAAAAAATGTTTCAGTTAAAACAAGAACTTGCCACAGTCAACCCTCCAACATCATCATCGTCATCAACAACAACAACAGCTTCAGTCCCCTCATCCGCTACCTCTACAGCCACCACAGCCACCACCCCATCCACAGGCACCTCACCTGCCACAGCAGCTGTAACACCTGCAGACAACAAAGACAACATCACCCACATTAAGGAAGAGGCCCAGCTCTCACCTGTTAAAACAGAACCAGGTAAAGCAATCAAAACCAGGTTAACATAAATAGCCATTAAAACCAAAGCTTGGTAACAGTTTATTTCTTTGGTTAAAGTAGAAAAGTTGTGAACACATTAACCATAATAATCAAATAAATAATATATATATATTTAATAATTGTAGCAAGAAAAAAGAGCAGCTCTTAACACTTGAATTAGGAGTCATCATCATAAGTAACTTAAATACAGAAATAAAATGCAGCATTAATTGATTGCTTGTGTTCTTATAGCTGGCAGTATAAAACATCTGTAGACAAAATAGGCGTGAAAATAAGTTACTTAAACACATTGTACTTAAACACATACTTCACTTGCCCCTTCCAAACCTGACGGTTTATGGGGCAAGTGAAGTAGAGTTCACCTGTTTCTATGAAGAGATAGTTTGGTCAGCACTAGGTCCAGCCGCCAAATGAAATGTAGCCCTAAAATAATCAAATAAATAAGGTCTATATATAATAATTAGAGCAAGGAAAAAGAGCAGCTCTCAACCCTTGAATTAAAAGTTATTATCATAAGTAACTTAAATACAGAAATAAAATGCAGCATTAATTGATTACTTGTGTTCTTATAGCTGACAATATAAAATAACTAGACAAAATAGGCTTTGAAATAAGTTACTTGAACACAGTCTTAAATTAAATGTAAAGTTCCCCTTCCAAATCTGAGGGTTTGTGGGGCAAGTGAAGTAGAAGTCACCCGTTTCTGTGACCTATACATATGAAGAGATAGTGTGGTTAGCCCAGCCACCAAATGAAATGTAGCCCTAAAATATTGTTTATTGTGTTCATCACATCCCAGGCACAGCACCTCTTCCCATCAAAAAGGAAGAAGGGGAAATCCCCACAACTCCAGTGAAGAAAGAGGAGGAGGATGATGATTATAGAGACTTGAAAAATGGCAAGAATGATCCCGAATTGGTGAAAGATTTAAGGAATCAACTCAAGTAAGAATTGTCTTTCTTGTCAGATTTGTTGTGACCTGCTAGCCAATTGAAAGGCCATATTACACTTTGTGGAAAAAAATTAGCAAAGTACACAAATGTAAATTGCCTATGCTCCACTGAGAGGTAAAAAAGGCAAATAAGAACAAGAATAACAGTTTTGTGTGTGTTTGTGTGTGTGAAATTACAGAGCTGATTAATTCTGTTGCTACAAACTTTCTAGTTTTAAAACTTGTTTGATGAGGAACGTGTTCTGTTACAACTTGTTTGTCTAGGAACATGCTTGTTTCCTCCTTAGAAAATCACAAGACAATGTCAGAGACCTGAAACTTTTGTTAGACACATATAAAGCAGCCCCTAAGGAACAGCGAGAGAAAATTCAAGTAAGGTTATCAGTACCAACTATTTATTTAGTGAATTTGTTGATTTGATTAAAAAACATTCAGATAATTCTTTTAACTTAATGCAGCAGAGTTTATCAATTTCAAGTTGTAAGTTAAACCCCATTTGCTTGTTGCCAGTTGATGTCAGCGGAGAAGAAGGCGAGACAGGAAGTGGAAGAGTTGAAAGCTCACATTAAAAAGATGCAGGAGAGTGAAAGGAGGGAGAGGAGGAAGCTGGCAGATGAGGACGCTATGCGGAAAATTAAAAAGATGGAGGAGACTATTTTAGAGCTACAAAAAAGTTTAGCCAATCAAAAACAGGTGAATTTTTCTTTCTCTTCTGCAAGTGAATCTTTTTATTGTTTAGAAATACATTGGCTTGCAAATGTATTGTATTGTATGAAATATATAATATATATAAAATATAGTGGCTAGGACATAAGCAAATTGATAATTAAAGTTTCTTTGAAATAGATATCTCATCACACTATAATTACAGCTAATAGTCAATATGAAATGCATCACTTTTGATAATTAATGATTGAGACTATTATTGCAACAAGTTTTGGCAATGTGTAGTACATCTGTTGCTCATTCAAGCTGAATATGATTTATGATGTTGATCTAAAGTAGCTCATGTATGTCCTAGAGAGAGGAAGCCTTGCTGAATGACTTGGACGTGACGGGACAAGCCTTTGAGGACATGCAAGAACAAAATACTCGTTTACTTCAGCAGCTACGGGAGAAGGATGATGCTAACTTTAAGCTCATGTCAGAGGTCAGATACATGTAGAAATATGTTTATTTTTGTCACTGGTCTCATTAGCATATAGAGCTGACCACAGTATCCCTTGATATGCTGAGTTCATAGAAACAGGTGAGCTCTACTTCACTTGCCCCATGGACCATCAGGTTCAAAAAGGGAACTTTACTTTAGCTCATTAGCATACATTATTTTGTCAGATAAAAATTAATACTTTATTTCACTGGTCTCTTGTTTATACCATATTAGAAATATACTGTTAATACCATATTAGAAATATACTGTTAATTTTTCACTAAACACTTAATCTTATACAATTTTGCATAAGTATTTATAAGTACATTTCTTTTGTGCCTGGCCACTTAAGAGAATGAAATCACAACTTGTATCACTGTTCTCTTCTACACCATGGTGGTGAACATTCCTTAAGCAATCTAATCTAGTAATCTCAGTAAATTGTGAACATTCTTTTGTTATTGTTGTTACAGAGGATCAAGTCCAATCAGATCCAGAAGCTTCTGAGGGAAGAGAAAGATGTGCTGACAGAACAAGTGGTCACTCTACAGTCCCAGGTGGAGGCACAGAACCTGGTGGTCAGGAGTCTGGAAGAGAAGGAGAGGCTCCTACAGAACAGCCTGTCAACTGTGGAGAAGGAGCAGGCGTAAGTACTTGTTCAAAAGTTTGCCCTTACATATTTTACTTATATTCTCAACTATTAATTTAACTGCTTGTCTCTATTCATTTTATCTATGTACACTCACCTTTCAAGTACTGGATTATAAGTTTGTCTATTTTACTTATATACTTTCTTATTACAAGTAGGCCCTACTGGCTTAACATTATGTTTCTATTTATTTATATACTCCCATCTTTCAAGTACTAGATAACTCAATTCATTTTATTTTCATTTTTTCAACTTGGCATATGCATTTTGGAATTTCAGATATACATTGATCACCCTTTATTTTATTGTATCATCAGAGTCATTCCACATGACAATCACAATTTTTTCATTTAGATAATGTTGGAGTGAATGCTGTAATCTTGAAAAAAAAAACTAAATATTTGTATTATTTATGTTACATCAAAGTCAAAAATAAAATCAAAATTTAGGCAAAATAGAAGAATATGTGAACAATACTTTTCAAATATTAACTCAAAAGTGATTGTGATTGTGAAATGACAGTGACAATGTCGAGAATTCTGATGTCTCTACCTCAATTCCGATAAAGTTTAATGTTACTCCTGGTTGTTAATGAAATGCTGATTGACAAAAAATGCATGTTGATTGTGTTAAACTGTGTTACTCTTACACTTAGCTAGATACATGAAATCTTGTGTACTTACCAATAGGATAACACAGCAAGCCATGGAAATGCATAAACGAAAAGCTGTAGAGAGTTCCCAGACAGCAGCGGACCTGAAGCTTCACTTAGATAAGTACCAAGCCCAGCTGAAAGAGGCGCAGGTTGCTGTGGCTGAGAAAACAGCATCTCTAGAGCAGGAAGTCTTCAAGTATAAGAGAATGCAGGTAGCTTAGCTCCCCTATTTCTTTCCTTAAGTTCATTGTCACTAGGTTGTTTAACAAGCCTATTGCCCATCAGCTATTTAACAAACCCATTGTTCATTATCTGTCAATCTCATTAATGGTCTATTTTGTTTTCTAGGAGGAAGTTGCGAAACTGAATCGTAAACTTGAGCGCAGTAAGAAGATAGAAATGGCAGGTGCAGCAGATGAAGTATTATTAGAAGAAATCAAAGAATATAAGGTTGGTTACCTCACCGTTCATGTTTCATTCAGTGATTAAATTTTTGTTAATTTTACGTGATAAGTAAAGTAGCATTAATTTAGACATTTGTGTTCAAGTTAGGTAATTGTGTAGTTAATGACATACTTTCCCGAGCTGCAACATGTTCATGTTCTAAGTGTTAGTGTTTCATGTCATGTTGGTGTTGTTCATGTGAAAGTACCTTTACCCTAAGTTGTTATTCTAACCCTACTTTCACCTATAATGTTTTTATTCCACCAGGAACAATTGACCTGTCCTTCATGTAAAGTCAACAAAAAGGATGCTGTACTGACCAAATGTTTCCATGTGTTTTGTCTGGAATGTTTGAGGACACGCTATGAGACGAGACAGAGGAAGTGCCCCAAATGCAATGCTGGGTTCGGTGCCAATGACTTCCATAGACTGTATTTGTCTTAGGGTTAGAGTTACTTCTAACACTTGCATCAAGTGTTGGCCACACACACAAGGACACACCAAGTTTAGTGACAGTTGTTCTCCACAGGTTGAGCACTATTGTTGTTTTATCATACAGCTAGCATCTTTACTGGACCTAGTACAGGTGGCACTGACTAATCAAGATAAGACAAAATGTCGCAGTCAACCTGCAGTAGTAGAAACAAATTCATTGATTTCTGTTTTATATGGACTGAACACTAACTGCACACAAGCTAAAGCCACCCCATCAAGTTGCCAGCCGTAGCTTAGAGTTCAGGCAAAAAGTGGATGTTGTATATTTGTTAAAGCCAGGCCTGTGTTGTTGAACTCAGAAAAAACTAGTTCTTGTCATGTTGGAGGGTTCATTCATGGCCATCTTAAATTCCTGTATTTCTAAAAACTTCTTCAAATGGATGTACTTTCGGCAGGATATGAGGAAAAGTGAAAGTTAAATCACACTTCTCCACAGTATAGAATATCTTGCTATAAATTGTTTGCTCTAAACAATAACATCAATTTTTTTTTCAACCCTTATTGTGTTACGTACTTCAATAAAAAATGCATGTGTTCTCTGTTGATGTTAGTTAGGTTGGAAAAACATTGAAATTATTGTTTAATACACATTTTGATAAGTTAAATGAAACTGATAACAAATCTTTTTTTCCATATGGTAAATTATACATGTTGCAAATTTGTTCACTTTTTGTCATCAATTGTTGAATACATTTTTTAGTTCACTTAGGCTGTACAACTTTTTATTTAAAATTGAGTTGTACTTTTTTTAATTCCTAGATCTACTAGAAAAATTCAAAGAGGACTAGTTGCATCTAGTTAAGAAGTCGTTACTTTATGTCTCACAAGTCACATGACAAGTTATTAAAGTTAGTTCTGTTATTCAAGACAGATAATTCATGTGTTATGTATGTAAGAGTTGTCTTTGTTATATATAACCTTATGTAGTAATTTTCCCAACATTATTTGTTTTACCAGATATTATCTTGACTAAGGCAACTCTTGCATGAAATTTATTATAACTATTACAGTGAGTACTTTTTTACAAGGACTACTTAAAAAGTTTCACTTTGTTTTCTCAGCTAGCATTATACTCTGTAGTCTGTTACATTTATTGCCAATATTGTTTTCTGCTTAAACTAGGTCATTTCTTAGGTTAAAAAGTCAGAACTCAAAATGTAAAGGAACAAAGTTTAGGACTTTCACTGCCAATTATTTATGTTATTTTATGAATAGTGTTAATGTTGAATGGTTCAGGTACATTAATTTCTGTTGTCTGTTGATGTAATGGGGTCAGTTTTGTATTCTGGTGTTGAGCTTGTGTTTTGTATTATAATGTAAATAATGTGTAGTGTTGCCTGTTGGTAGGAACAAGTTTTTTGAGATGAATGCTAGCCACTGTTTTACTACCATGATGGATGAAGCAATGAATATATTGTTACTCTGTGTTCACTCTCTTTCTTATTTCGTCCTAGAACTGTTTCTCAGCATTGAATAAATTTTATCACTCATCACTGCTAATGAATATTGATAGTTTTGGAGAATGGAGGAAAGAAAGATTTGCGAAACAGAAAACTAACTGCTCAACGTAAAACTGCACTCAAAAAAGGGCATGAGGGCTTTAGTTTTCTTAAATTGAGGGTTTATAAACATTAACAAAGAGGGACTACATGTACAATGTACCTAATAAGACATATTCCCATGGAATATAGCAAAAGTGTATTAGTATAATTAGTTTGCAGTTTTTCTGTTTGCGCAGTTTTCTGATGGGCATGTTTCTGTAAACAGACAGTTTGAAAAAACTAAGTTAAGTCCTTGCCTGGTTGTCCAGCTGTTGGCTGGATGGTCAGTAAAGTTGCCTTCAAGATGTTGGTCAGTTAACAACCAGTAAGGTTTGACTGGGTCACAAACAACCAGTCAGCCCAGCTCAAAACATTTTTCTGAAGTCCAAAAGGAGATAATTTGTACTAGCTTAACAACTAACATTGGTACAATTTATTTTATGCTTATATTCTTCAGTCTCTTACCAAATATTTAAGCAAAACATGGGGAAATGAATTATTTGCAGTTAACAGCTGTAACGTAACGGCAAGTGTTATTTTAAAAAAAATTTAAAAAAAAATTTATATATACAATTTCCAAAACCAAACCGAAAGTGATACATACTAAGGCCTGGAGCAACAGTAGAAACTAGCTGATTCGACACATTTAATATTGTAAGTAGATCTACATGATGACTGAACGAACTTTACATTGACCAAAGTATGAACAAGCCATTGCGTCGTTGGATTTGCTTAGCAATAAATATCACATTTTTGTACTTTTATTTATTGTCCAGGTAAAATAGGGGGGGGGAGATAAAAGGGTATTTGGGAAGTAATGTAATAAGAGAACAAACAGAGGCAAACAAGTGAGCAGTCGATTCTCCAGTAATGTAATAAAGGGGCGAATACAATTTCAAGTCCTATCACTCGTCACTTGAAAATCATGAAGAATTTAAAGTAGACGCCGTTAATGAAATGGCTATATTGACACATTTGGGGTTTAAATGGTACACCGTCAATATTGATATTTCGGGATGGCGTGACCTGGCGGTGGAGAGCTGGGCTGCAGGCCCGAAGGTCTCGTGTTCGATTCCGTGTTCGAGTCAGTAGAACGTCCGTGAGTTCACCCAGTTCTGATGGGTACCGAACTTTACGTTGGGCGGGGCATATGAGGGGATGGATATTGTGGTCATCACTATGCCCAGCCGCCTCTGCTTTGCTACAGAGACACTTGGCTCCAGTGGCGTCGCTGGGTCGGGTGTCACCCGGTGGCGCATATGTGTATATATGGGGCATGGTCGTTTTCTTTGCCGCTGGTGCGGATTCCTCTGCCGGCCGTTTACCGCTAGACATTTTATTGTTTTGTTTGGTATGGGGTGTCTGTTTTCCTGCCCCTTGTTGTTTGGTTATGAAATTGATTATTACCTATTATTTTTATCGTGTCATTATTATGAAGTATGAAATATTTTTTGATATATTAAATTTTACATCTGTTTGCTTACTTTTTGATTTGATATATTAAATTTTACATCTGTGATGATATTTGTTTTGTTTTGTTGAAAGATTATTAATTAAATCATATAATTAAAGATTATATATAAATGATTTTAAAATTCCCGGTGTTGCAATGACGTCATAGGCCCCAAGGCCTGTGGGTATTCTTACTCACAAGCTTATACGGTCTATATTGAAACGTCGCGAGTTCAATGCAAAAAGACCTCCATTGTATTGGTATACAAGGATGGCCATACCTTGTATACAATCCAACGGAAGTCGATTGGCAGCCGACATGCTCCATAACAATACCGGTCGTCCTAAGTCTGTGAGCACTATAAAAGTAAAATACCCACAGCGAACCGTTTATGACGTACTTGCATCACCATGGGAGGCGCCCAAGGACGCCTATGTTGAGCCAGATATTTTCATTCATAATGCGGACGTTAAGGGGGCATCACCCAGATTAAGGATGAGAAACAAAAAATGTTCACAAAAATAAATATTCGACATACACATGTCAATTTTTACAGTAGTAGTAACGTTTCTTCTGTTATAATACAGCATATAATTTGTGGAGTATATGTACAGCAATAAGTTTTCAAAAAATTATTTTATTAATATTTTAGTACTTTTTTGAAATTTTTTGAAACCATAAGTAAAGTACTTAAATGGCATAGCGTTGCAGTTTTGCAACAATACTTTAGGAGTAATCAAGTACTGTATTATTTAATATTTTGTTTCGTTTTCAACTTATTTTACTCCGGATAGCACTTTTTAATACATTTTATACCGGAACTCTTTTGAAAAGAAGATTTTCTTTTTCAAATCGGACATTTTTAGAAGCGATCTACACTTTTCTGCTTTTTTCTAAATGGTAAGTATAAAAATACGTTAAAACCTGGTTAAAATTATAATAAACTAGCTGAAAAAAATATTTTTACAATAATAACTATGCATTAGTACTAATTTAGTTGATTCACAATAAAATTCTTAATATTTCATTAGTAAGAGCCTAGGTTTTGTATTGTTGTAGTAATGCAACTACATGCAACGGAATAAAAATGGCTCTGCTCTGAGCTAGACTTTAGTTTACTTGGTAATTATTTCTATACACAAAATAGTTTGGTAAAACCTTAAGTTTAGCGTCGGAAATTATCGGGTAATGTTTGTTGAGTTTCGGTAACTAGAGTTACGGTAAACCAAAACCATGTAGCTAGTCTCATAACGCGAGTTGAATTACCTCCCCTGACCCGCTTTTTTATGGCCACTTTCTAGTTCGTTTTTTTCGATCGCGTCTCGGCACTGTTGCTAAAAATAGCATTCGCGCAATACCATACGGGTAAATCTGTTTGGCGTCTGCTACACGTGATACATCATTGAATGGCCGACAAGCTGATATAAAAATTAGGCCAAGGCTATTCCCAGCCGGTTGGGAATAGCCGTATTGGGGCTATTCCCAGCCGACTGTCATGTCATGTCATGTTTGCCTGTCGTCCCTACTGGGACATAGGCCGCTGACAAGAGCTTTCCAGACGTCTCTGTCCAGGGCTAGTTTCTCCAACTGTCCCCAGGTGTATCCAATCTTCTTGGTGTCTTCTTCCAGGTCACGTCTCCAGGTCTTTCTTGGTCTGCCTCTCTTCCTCCTGCCTTGTGGATTCCAGGTGAGGGCCTGTCTTGTTATGCTGGATACAGGCTTCCTGAGTGTGTGGCCAATCCATTTCCATTTTCTCTGGAGGATCTCTACTTCCACTGGCAGTTGATTTGTCCGTTGCCATAGAACATCATTTCTGATGGTTTTAGGCCAGCGAATTCGCAGGATCTTTCTGAGACATGCGTTTATAAATGATTGTATTTTCTTCTTATTTATAGCAGTTATTCTCCATGTCTCGGCTCCATAGAGTAAAACAGGTTTTACTAGTGTGTTGAAGATCCGGATTTTTATTCTAAGGGTTAAATCTCCCGAACCCCAAACATTTTTTAGTTGGTTGAAGACTGCTCTTGCCTTACCCGTCCTTATTTTTATGTCTGCTTCTGTCCCACCCTGCTTATCAACAATACTTCCAAGGTAGGTGAATCTATCCACTTCTTCTAGGGCTTCTTCTGCCAGTGTTATAGGGTTGTTGTTTGATGCATTGACTTTGAGAACTTTACTTTTCCCTCTGTGGATGTTCAGACCCAGGCTTGTAGAAAAATTTGCAACCCTGTTGGTTTTATCCTGCATTTGCTGTTGTGTGTGAGAAAGGAGGGCCAGGTCGTCAGCAAAGTCCAGGTCATCCAGCTGGCTCCACAGTGTCCACTGTATACCGTTTCGCGTTTTCTCTGTTGACATCTTCATAACCCAGTCTATGGCCAGTAGGAACAGGAATGGTGAAAGTAGGCAACCCTGCCTTACTCCGGTCCGTACTGGGAAGGCCTCTGTAGTCTGTTGGCCATGCACTACTCTACATTTGAGACCTTCATATGAAGACATAATAATGTTGACTATTTTCTGTGGCACCCCGAAGTGTCACAACAATTTCCACATTGACTGCCTATCCAGGCTATCAAAGGCCTTCTCATAGTCTATGAAATTAATATAGAGAGATGAGTTCCACTCTTGGGTCTGTTCAATGATGATGCGCAGGGTAGCAATTTGGTCTATGCATGACCTTTCCTTCCTAAAGCCCGCCTGTTTATCTCGAAGCTGGGGATCTATGGCTTCCTTCATTCTGTTTAATAATATTCTGTTGAAGACTTTGCCTGGGATGGACAAAAGTGTTATCCCTCTATAGTTAGAGCATGCACTAAGATCGCCTTTCTTTGGAAGCTTTATGAGTAGTCCCTCCTTCCACTCCTCTGGTATTTGTTCATCTTCCCAGATTTTCTTGAAGAGTGTGTATAGTAGTGTGGTGCTAGTTTCTATATCTGCTGTCAGTGCTTCTGCCGGTATACCATCTATTCCTGGAGCCTTCCAATTTTTCAGCTGCTTTATAGCTCTATGTATCTCTTCTTTTGAAGGTGGGTTGCAGTCTATAGGGAGGTCACTTTCAGCTGGTGGTATGTCTTGCGTGCACTCTGGTGTAGGTCTATTCAGTAGTTCTTCAAAATGTTCTACCCATCTCTTCATCTGTCCTTCCGCATCAGGTATTGTCTTTCCATCTTTGGTTTTCACTGGCCTCTCTGGCTTACTGTACTTACCAGATATCTTCTTAATTGTATTGTACACGTCCCTAATATTACCATGGTACAGTGCTTCTTCCGCTTCTCTTGCCAGCAGTTCCAAATAGCTCAGTTTGTCTTTCCTTATGTGTTTCTTGACATTTTTGTTCGTTTCGGTGTATTCTTCCAGTGCTTTTAATTTCGTAGCCCGTGTGCGGCTGTTGTTTAATGTTGCCTTCTTTCTTTTTCTCTCTTCAATAATTTTCATGGTATCTGCTGATATCCATTCCTTCGCTTGTCTTTTGATAGGGCCTAGCACTTCTTCGCATGTTGAT